CACCTGCTGCAGTGATGAGGTCACTCGGCTGCTTCTAAAAATGATGCTGCATCTACGTAAAAGGGTCAATTTTACCTACATTTGCAACTGCTTTAAATAATATGAGGAAATCCATCTACAATCAGCATTTTAAGATCTGGAGGCCTCGCCAGCATATTTATGATTGAAGGACAACCTCCACGAGGCTCCGCACGGCTGCTTGCAGCTAGCAATGCTAACAGCGCAAACAACAGCAGCCGCGCCGGCAGGGGGTAACATCATATGTCAGGGGAGTAGAGGTAAGCCAGGAGAAGAGGCGGGGCTTCAGATGTCCACGCCGGCTCATTTAAAATGCTGCTATCACTCTGAGTAAAGAGATAAAAATTGTATATACTTTGAGCTTTTGGGCTTGAAGGCCCTCGCTGTGCATGGCACACTGTTAAGCCAAAGTGCTGCTGCTCGGTTGGCTGCCAACCCTCCACCAACTAATGACCAGGAAATAACTGTGGTTCAGACACACACACACACACACACACACACATGCATTTTTAGATTTGTTTCTGACTTGTACTGACTGCATTCCTTTTTCCCACCAAACCCTGTGCAATAGAAGCCAAAATGGAACCCTTCGATGAGTTAATTCTAATCACTGTGGCCTTTAAGGATAATGGAGTGTGAAAATAAAACTGTGTCTCTCCGTCGGCACTATCGCCCATGAAATGTCTAAACCCACAAATGTTGTTGTCACATATCCTAATGTGTGCTGTTCTGTGGCCCTCTGCCTCCCAGAGTGGGAAACAGTTTCAAATGTACTCTTTATGTGACGTGGTGCTGCACTAACTGTTGAGATGTGCAGCGCATGCTTTTCCTTTTAAAGCTGTCCGTAATCAGCTCAGCTCCTTCACTTTCAGAGTTCAGAGTTAAGTGTGGAAAGCTTTGTGTGCAATTGTCTCCCACTCTGCCTCGTGTACTGTTGCATCATGTAACCTTTACGTAAAAGAGGAAAAGTCTCCATTTGACTGGAAATAATCTGCATGTTGGAGTTATACAGTCAACGCGAGTAGATACGAGCTCCTGCAACAGCGGACCGTATATAAGAAGCGGCCGTAGCCGCTGCGTAGTCACGCAGTGGTTATTGGACTGTAATTTTAAAGCCTTGAGTTTGGCTTCTTGGTTTTGGACCAGCTGCCATTTAGTTTATCTGCAAACGTGGGCGGGACACGACAGGATGGAGCTAGCTAGTACAGCCTCACACTGAATAAGACATTTTTAAGTGACCAAAAATGTTCAAACGTATGAATTAATCATGCCGTAGCGACCTGTCAATCACAGGGTAGCCACGCCCCAAAAGCCTACCCTGCTTTATGGTCTGTTTTACTCGAAATGGGACCAAAGTTCACTACATGAAAACCACGCTGCTTTGAAGAGGATATAAAAATCAGAAAATGAGACCATTAACTATTGGTTACAATGTTTTTGCTTAAGCAGTGTCGTATAGCTCATCACACTGGCTTCACTTCTCCCTTCCCTTCTCTGAAATGCACCACAGATCTGAAAAGCCTCCACCGGCTCACTGCTTCACCGACGCCACTCCGCCCTGCCCTTAATATTCACGGGCCTCCCTCCGATGAGTCGCCTCTCACACCCGGCGCCGCTGCCGAACTGTTTACTTTGCTCCGGCCGGCCCTCCAGTGAAACCACAGCCTTCTCCTCCCACTGAGTGTGTGTCTGCGAGGTCTTGTCTAAATGCCTCTGCGGTGTGATTTCATCTTGCAGTAATGGCTCCGCCGGGGGAAACAATTCTCTCCCTAAATGTCCCACCAACACAACAAAATGCCACAGTGTTATTAAGCAAGCACATGCATGTGCATACGGGGAGAAAATGCCCTCCGGTCAAAGACCTGGGAGATGATTTTAGAGTTTGTCTCGTTGCTGCAGTCAGAAGACATATATATATATATATATATATATATATATATATATATATATATATATATATATATATATATATGTATATGTGAAAACTTTCTCCTGAGTTGTCTTTTCCACTTACAGCTTTTTCTTTTTCAGTTCATATTACAATTTTCCAGAAGGAGCTCCCAGTGTCGTGTGTGAGTGTGTCTGTGTGTGTGTGTGTGTGTGTGTGTGTGTGTGTGTGTGTGTGTGTGTGTGTGCTAGGGGCGGGGTTGAAGTAAGCATTTTCCTTTTCCAGGCCGGATTAAAGGCAGAGGGGGGGGGGGGGATGAGGGATGCATGTGTTTGGAGACCCAGGGAATGAGCAGGAAAAGTGTGGGCAATTTCTTTCAGTGTGTGTATGTGTGTGTGTGTGTGTGTGTGTGCATGGGAGTAAAGCATGTAGCCTGTCTGCCAACATGGCAATCATGAAACAGGAGCTCTGTGATAGCCGGGCGCTAATGCGGCGCTGATGCTTGAAGTGTTTGTGGGATTGGGGATTAGTGGCATTTAACGCGAACCAGTGTAGTCACAGTCTGGCGTAAATGCTGAGGTCACCTGGCCGAGGATTCAGCTTTGTCATCAGACATCTGCAGCTTTTCTTTGTCTACACAAACCACAGCAACGGCACCTCGTGGCCTCATCCAACCCGCCGAACCGCTTCTCTCCTCTACAACTCTTTGCTTTCCGTGGAAAGGTTTGAAATAAACACAAACGGCAGGAAAAAAAGATCCCTTTGGGCGATTTGCGTCACCTGTGAGGATTCAGCCAAAAGTAAACACAGAAACCAGGATCTTTAGTTGATTTAGATGCAAATGCCTTTGTGCTGCCCCCATTGTGCGACGCGACCAACAATCCACCAGCAGAGCAGGCGTGGCGCGCTTTGACTCACAATAAGGTGTGGTCATCTCCGCCGCACACAGGGCGGCTGGATGGATCCGTTTGTGCGTGTTGGTGTGGTCAGTGCTTATGGGAAAATTGTGGGGCTTCTGTGGGCGATTTTTTATTTGAGCAGACGCACAAGCCTCAATGATCACAGCTTGCTGTCGGGCTGCAATAAATCCAAGTGCAAGGACCGTTTTTTGTGCAACGACGTACATTCACCTGATGGAAATCCCTGAGGAAGAGGAACGGATGATACCTGTCTGTGTTACGGGTTATTGCTTTATTTAACTTAATTTAAAGAGTTTGGATCGTCATTGGCTGTAAGGCTGTTACATTACACTGTTTGTATCTGTACCTATGAATCAATTTCTATGCGATCCATCTACATCCAATACGGAACCTGCCCTTATTTGACACACGCGTCCCCACAGCCATTTAACCCAAAACACAGTTTGTCCTAAACCTAATCAAGCAATACTGTCGTCTAAACAATGCAAGCGTACGGGTTGCTCAGGTGATGTCTGCATCAGTTACCTAGCAACAATATTCTCATGACTGAAAGCCCTTGAGTGGCAATCACTGTATGTTTTCTATACTTCCCACTTTGATGACACGACCTCGTGGGTTTCGCTCGGAGGCGGCGTAACGCCGCGGCTCCAGGCGGGTTCTCCGGAGTGTCGTGGGAAAACGGACAAGCGGAGCAAAATACAAGACGGGCTGTGGGAACCTCGGCTCCAGACAGCGTCTGAGGATGACTTTGAGGGAGATGTCCTCAATACCTCGCGTTATTAAAGCAGGCGATTTGTGCCGGAATACGTTTTAAAGGCCACGAGAGAGACTCGGGTCCCTCATCCAGCAAAGCTGGAGGAATAAGGGTCGTGTTTGTGGACGGAAACACTTTCACAACACTCCTGTTTTCAAAATACATCTGCTCAAGTTTCTGTGGGACGCTTGACCTAATGAAACCAGCCAAACCAGTTTTTTTTTTTTTTTTTACTGACAGTGAGACTGAGGAGTAGAAACTGTTCTCTTTCTCCCAACAAAAATCCCATTGTGCTTTTACTCCCAAGTCACCTTTCCCTTTCAACATGTGCACTACTGCTTCAATGCCAAAAAGACGAAATGAGCTGAAATGAAAGAAGTCCCTGTTTAATGTCCTTGTTGACGTCTTGACCTTGAGCGGTCAGCAGATGATCCGGATCTGTCATCTCCTGCTTTCTGTCTCTCGTGTTAAGGTTCCTCTCTCTTTGCTGACAGACAGACGGACAATGAGCCAGACGGACGGACAGATGGTTATTAAGGCAAAGCGCCACGCCGTCATGCCGAATGATCACACCGCGATCGACATGCCCATCTGATACGTCCTTCAATAGAGCAGACGTGAGGACGCGTGACATTTAAAGCCTTACTCACTACACAACCAATATACATAAATAAATACTCCCCGTGCAGGATTAATAAGTAACTGTCGATCCAAAAAGCAGAACTACTTGACAGTTCCTGCGTGCTGCTTGGCATTACAAAAAAAAACCTCCCAGAGGCACATTTGATTCATGATCTTTGAACTCAAGTTCATTCTCCAGAAGGCAGTTTCATCTCCTGCCTTCAATTCCCTCCAGGCTCTCAGTGTAAATAAAAACAACCGGCCCGCTCTCGCTCTCCCACAGAATAATGGGAAATTGCAGACGCTGAACCTCAAAGACAAATACATCTCTGCTGCGCTGACCCCAGGAAACAACTTCTCAGAGACTTGAGAATCTAGACATTTTCATTTTCCCTGCTGGTGTTGAATGAAACAGAAGAAGAAGAAGAGGAGGAATGAGAGGGGGGTCCGCGGGGGGGGGGGCTGTGCTCTGTCTGTAGCTGGATGTGTTGATGAGCCGGCTGCCTGCACGTGTCGGCGCTTGCCTGTTCCTGGCGGTGACTGAGCCGGCTTTCGTCACCGGCGCCACACGGAGCTCACGGGCAGCTTGGCGTCGATGCATCCCGGCAGCGAGCGACAGACAACAGATTAAGGTGACTGATAAAAGTTGTGAATTGTGTTTGATTCTGTGTTTGTTTCGGGAAGCATTTAAAGTAGTATTCAGATATTTAGAAGATAAGAGCTCCTGGTGACGACATGTGTGTCTCACTGGCCCTCTGGATGGTCAGTCAACTGATGGAGTAAAGGTGTGGAGGCTTACCTGTGGACAGGTCTCCGTCACTCTGCTCTCCGGAGTCCGAATCCATTTTCTCCTGCAGGACACTGGGAGGCTGCAGAAGCTCTTAGATTCCTCTTTCTTCTTCTTCTTCTTCTTCTTCTTCTTCTTCTTCTTCTTCTTCTTTCCTCTCAAGGGATTATTTTGGATTTCTTTACCCAGAGAGAGATTAAAAAAATGCCTTCAAAAAAAAAAAAAAAGGGCAGTGTCTTGTTCTTTTCGCTTTCTTCTCCCGGTGAGCAGCCTGGATCACTGCAGCGCTGGGAGGAATTCTTTTGGGGCTGATTTGCTGATCTGTCCTCCTTTTTTCCCCCTCAGCTCTCCTCTTTACTTCTGACTCCCTCAGTTTCCCTGTTTCCTCCTCCGTCTGATGCTCCCGCCCCTCTCTCGCTCTCAGTCCGTCCCCCCTCTCGGTTTCTCCCTCCCTTGTCACCGCACCACTTGGTCCTCCCCTTCTTCTCCTCCACCTCCTCCTCTCAATCGCTGCCGTCACACTCAGCCTCTTTACGCTTTCTCCACTCAAACTCTTTCTCTACCTCTTTCTGTATGCTGTAAGTGGCGTCTCTCCCTCCCTCCCTCCCTCCCTCTCTCTCCCTCACTCTCTCTCTCTGTCTCTGGGTAAGAGTGCTGCCTGTGTTTGAGCAGAGCAACGGGAGAGACGCATTCATGGCAACTTGAAATTCATCTCCAGCAGGAAAAGTCCCATGAACTCCCGTTAAAAAAGGAGTCACTTACTGTCTTTGGCGGTCACGTGAAGTCAGGCCGGGTTGCTGTTTTACTTTTCTCACAAATCACTGGATGGACGGGTTGACCTTTATTGGATGGAATTGCTTTGAGCTTTTTTAGAACATAAGGAACATTTTAGAAGAAAATCTCTGGTCACTTCTATATACTGGTAGAACCTTTAGAGCTATATGAGACTGTTCATGCGTCAGAAGCGAGTCTTAAGAATGGAAGACAACGGTTGGAGACGAGTAGATTACAAAGAACAGCAGATGTGTCTGTAGGTGTTTGTACCACAGCTGCACTGGATTTGAAAATAATCATTGTCAGGTTTTGGCAACTCAAACGACAACAGATCCTTTGTTGACTCACCGTTTTACACATTCAACAACCACGCAGAGAGGAATGTATTGTAGGAGGCGATATAACAGTTTCTCCACCCACCAAAGTGCAGCGAGGCCCTCGCGTTTCCAGTTAATGCCTCGCTGGAACTCTCCCCCACTCGCAAAGGAGCTGAAGAAACACAAATAGAAGCATTCTACTGGGATATTCTAAAAGCGGATGTTTGAAATGCTTAATTTCCTACTAATCACCTCAAGGGGGGGAGAAAAGGGGGGGGGGTTAAGGGGGCAGGTGGGCGTGCAGTCGGTGGTCCGACAACAGTTCCAGGCCATGACGTCCCAGGTGTGGAGATGACTGTTGCGCAGCATGAACACTGGGCGGCAGATGGCGTCAGCCTGCGTGGCCGCCGCCCGGGGCTCGCTGGTCCGTGACGCCGTGCACGTTCACATGTGCACTGCAATACTGCAGCGACAACAACCAAAACAAGCGAAGCCGCTTGGATCCGGGGAGTAAAGGTGTGTCTGCCTCCCATACGGGGCATTAAATTGGATCAAAAAGGTACAAGAACTGAACATTATTCTTTGATGTTTGTGACCTTCTTGTGTTTCATCGGAGCCTCAGTAATCACCAGGGTCTCTATAAATGTGCCCTTTGTTTAGTCAGTGTTTCCTCCTGATTGTGTAACCACGGTCTACTGTGTACCAGTGCGTGAGAGGACGAACCAACCCCACTGCACCAGCAGGAGACGATGACCACTGCTGACAGAACACGTCACGTCCCACGTCAAAATACTCAAATCTAAATGTAGACATGAATGTGAGTGAATGAATGGTTGGTGGAATTTACTACACACAATCTATTAATCTCTGTTCCGTGTAAAGTATATTTCCCTCTGAAATGAGGTGGAGTAGAAGTGTAGAAGGAGCAGCTATAGCAACTTTATCAGCAGAGCAGTGGGGAGGACAATACGTTCTTTGTTTGCAATGTAATTATATTTTACACTCAATTATAACGTAGTAAAAGTCAGTTAGCACGACTGTGAGAGTGAAGGCCGGTTTCTTCACGGCAGCTGAGTGCAATGGACGTTTGGAAATGTTGGAAGAAGGGAAAAAGAAGCAGAAGAAGAAAAAAAAAAAGCATGGTAGAAGTAAAGATTTGCAGCTGTGCAAAACTCAGCGGCCTCAAACCGAATCTTCTGCAGCGAGCGGGCAGAAAAAGGGGGAAGAGACCAAAAGAAGAAGGAGCGCTTCCTGCCATGAAGGGCGCCACCGCTCCCCTCTGATGTTCAATGAGAAACAAATGAGCTGACCGTGAAAAGCGGGCCGCACGAGGAGGCCCTGAAGTGAGAGTTCCCCAGTGATGCGGTGCCTTCACTGGCACAGAGCCCCCCCCCCTCCGGTCTGCGGGACCACCACCATCAACGCTCGGAAACGCCAACGACAGAACTAGTGAAAGGTCTCGCAGCGGCGCGGGAAACACCGTTATGTCCGAACAGCGGGAGGCATCGACGTGGAGGGATGAGCGGATAGCCGGTAGATGTTTCCATGGCAACCATTGCTCTCTTTTGATGAAGCAGTAATCCAGCAGGGGACGGAAACTGAGAGACAATATGGCCACTGGCATTTGAGAATTTTAGAACCTGTGTGTGTGTGTGAGTGTGTGTGTGTGTGTGTGTGTGTGTGTGAGTGTGTGTGTGATAAACAGCATTTAATCTGATTCAGACAGTCTAAACTTTTTGCCGCGAGGCTTTTTACGTCTCAGTTATTTTAAGAGCTGTCTGGCGGCCCGACTCAATACATCAGTCACGGGCCGAGAGGAGTGAATGGAACTAGAAGGGAAAAAAGTACATCATGTGACGAACAAAAGCCACAAATGAAGAACCGCGCACTCCTTCAAGAGGAGGAACACACGCAATATTTCATGTTACAAGTTCACCAGAATGTGCGAGGCGAGCTGTTCGATGGCGGTGAACCTCGGAGTATAGAGCGTCTTCAAACCTTTAAAGGCGCGGGTTTTACGTAACGGCCCTACGGCCAGGAGCAGGCCAAGCTGACACAGTTTCTCATTCAATTCAATTCCCTTATAGAAGTATTTCCTAAATCTACACACACACACACACACCACAGTCCTCAGTGGTAGATTTGAAGGGAAAGTTACCCCGGAATCTATTTCGCAGATGCCCGACAACCTGCCATTTGGAGGCCGAGGAGTCGTATTAATACAGGATTCATCTCCGCTGGGCTGCAGCTCTTTTTCCAAATGTGATACCTTCACTGTAAACACATTGAGGTTTTTCAGGGAACTATGGAATATTTTGCCACGTCATTTGCCAAAGACATGATTGATAACTTGCTCTAATTGATGCCAACTTCAGGTTATAGTTTTAACTCAATTCCCCAGATTCTTTTGACCAAATAACTCTACAGCCTCTGTATTTAGTGCAGCTCAGCATGCTAACATGCTCCACTAAGATATATATAGATCGATAGATCGACAGATAGATCATTAAATAGAAAGTGAGACACATGGATAGATTGATTGGTAGAGAGATTGAGAAAAAGATATAGATAGAAATTGATAGTGATCTCAATCGACAGTATTACACCAGGAAGTGATAATTAAAACATTGTTTCCCCTTGAGGCAACTGTGCACTGTAGTAAGTGTTAACAAATATGACAGACATCGTTGGAAGTGTCATTTTAAAACTCAAAGTGATACTTGGCGCTTCCACGAATGAATAACGTGAACCTCTCAGTTCTATTGATCCCAATATAGAGGCATCAAGCTTAATACATATGCAAGATGCATCTAACAGAGTCAAAACATACACACGGTACTATTTACATGCATGACTCAATGACTCAATACAGTGCACACACACACACACACACACACACACGTGCAGTAGGTAAACTTTGTTGAGCGGATGGCATGTTCTCTTACATTTGTGTGTTTGTGTGTCACATCACGACACATTATTGTTATTTAAATCAGCACACACGCAGGGGATGTTTCACTCTCCGATGGTTTACATCCGTGCAGGAACAGCTGATAAACCTCATCTACATAGATATTTAGGTATCTTAGTCAGCAATTGAACATAATGAAGAAACCGGTGGCCGTATTCGGGCTGTGGCCACTCCACATGTGTCCTATGGCGCCCTCTCCTGAGTAATACTTGCAAACACACAAGAGAAGCTGGTTTTCATCTTTTTTTAATGTACTTACACAGAAATAACAAACAAGCACAAAAAAAGCCAGACAAATCAAGAACAAAAGACAGAACTGTTATGTAAAAAAACACAGCAGTGAACATATTAGGTGTTCACATACATATTATATAAATAAGCCTATAAATACAAAGTAATAATAATAATAAAAACATCTATATACAAGTCGGGTATTCTGTATAGTACAAAGAAAGAAATGAATATACATGGACTGATGATTATCTGCGTTATGTGCTTGTAAAGCATAGTATACAAACAGTGTGTGGGATTTATTATCACATAAAAAAAAGAATCGGCAAAAATAATTTACATTTACTTCAGTATTTCAGTATTTGCATTTTCGAAAAATCACGAATCACCACATACTTAAAAGTTCATGTAGAAATACAATTATTTAATACGTAACAAAATATAAAACGTGGCTCTGTACATTCATGTGGGATTTATACATATGCAGATTGAAACGCGCGGGTCTCAGATAGTTTGCCAGCTTCCTCTCCGTCTGGGTAAGAATCTCATGCTGAGCTGTTCGGTCTGCTGCTGATGCTCAACGGGCTGCTGGGAGAGGTTGTTGGTCTGCGGGAGGCGGTCCAGGGTCAAGCCCTCATGGGGGCAAACCGAGTACCGGGAGAGCAGCGTTACCAGGATGGACTTCATCATCACCATGGCGATGTGCTTGCCAACGCAGGCGCGCGGGCCCGAACCGAACGGCTGGAAGTAACGGCGAGGAGCCTGAGGAGGGGGGGGGGGGTTAAAACACCTCAGCGCTCAATTTCTAAAGAAGTATTGGTCAATTACATCAATATTTACTGTGTACAGTATTATTTATAAAAAGTTGGACTCTTATATAGTAGTAGCCTATAGTATAATATAGAATATAGTATATTCTATATTATATTAAAATGGTCAGTTTTTGATAGCAGCGTCGGTGAAGCCTGATTGGTGCGAGACATTATAACGTGTCTCTGCCTCCCACCTCAAACCAGTGAGAAAAGCAAGGAGGAAAAAAATGCATAAAATCTAAAATATCCCCAAAATATTCAAACGACCCATCGCTCATAACAGAAAGCTCAATGAAAAAAGAAAAGTCTTAACAAGTTGATTGAACAACCCTCAATTTGACCTAAAAAAACGTCTACTTACATTTTTCTCAAAGTTCTCCAGACTGAATTCATCGGGTTTGAGGAAAAACTCTGTCCTGTGCATGCGGCCGGTGTTCAGGATGATATTCGTGCCCTTCGGCACCCTGTAGCCCTCTATGACGTCGTCGGACAGGGCTCGGCGCATGCTGAAGTCCACCACGGGGTGGAAGCGCAGGGCCTCGTTGATGAAGCGCTCCAGCACCTGCAGCCTCTGGAGGTCCCCGTTCTGCAGCGGCCTCTCGCCTGCAGCGGCACGAACACAAGTGAGACACGCGGGCCGCGGGCGGCTCTCTGCCACGTGTGACCGGCGCCGCGGCTCCTCACCTGAAACGGTGTCTATCTCACGGAGCAGCTTGAACTCCACATCTGGATTCTGCTTGAGGAGCAGCAGCATGAAGAAGAGGCTGACGGACAGAGTGTCCGGTGCCGCGATCACCATCTCCAGCACGCACTGCCGGACGTTCTCCGCAGACAGTTCGCCGTGGTTCTGCAAACACACACACACACACACACACACACACACGACGACGTTGATACCACAAGATGATTTGTGATGTGCGGCTCGGAGGAAGCGCTGAACCTCCTTTTTAAACAAAGAACCCTAAATGACAAAAGCTCCAGCAGTGAGACTGACCTGTGCAAATATGAGCTCTGCGGTGAAGTTGATGTTGTCCAGTTTCTCCGCCTTCTCCACCTCTCGCCTCTTCTGCTCCACCAGGATCTCTATGGCGTCTTGCAGCTCCTGGCTGTGAAACCACAGACAAAATAACTTGAATAATTTGAAATAATAATCGAAACGAAGATGCGCGCCGATGCGAGTTGCAGAGGGACTCACGCTGCTCTCTTGTGCCTTTGATGAATCCACCCCAATTTAAAGTAAACGTCTGGTTTGATCAGCACCGTCTGCCACGTGTCAAAATACTTGTGGATCTTCAGAAGCAGCTTTTTTTCTGGACGCAAAAGAGAAAAAAAACAGTCTCAATAACCGACCCAAGGGTCCCGACATATCTTTTGTTAACTTGCATCAGGAACAGGTGGAGGGTTGCATGAATGCCGACTGACCATCGAAAGGTACGCCCAGAAAGAGTCGATTGGAGATGTCGACCACGGTGCAGCGGAGCAAGTTGAGGACGTCCACGTGGCCGAAAACGTCCAGCTCGTCCAGGTGGTTCTGGGTGGAGGAGACGCTGACCTCCACCGTCTGCTGCAAGCCCGGACCTGTCAGGGCTGACGCACAAAAGACGAAAAAGTCTACGTGACTTGAGTGCAAAGCGGGTGTCTAAATGCAACCGCTGGACCGAGCGGCCAGTCGGGCGTTACCTTTGGTGTAGTAGGTGCGTATCTTTTTCCACAGAGTCACGTTGTTGTTGAATATGATGCCCCTCTCGTTCATGCCCATGCAGCTGAGTCCTTGCTTGCTCCCAAAGCGTGAGGTATAATGTCCGTTCTTCAGCACGTGGTGCACAGCCGACGCCCTGCAACAAGAGTAGAAAACCAGTGGTACCTGGATCATCGATCTACACCCGGATCCTGGACTCTACTCCTCAGCACGGAGGTGAACCGACCTGCTGAGTATGAGCGTCTCCTCGCCGTCGATCCACACTCTCACGATGTCTCCGTACTTGTTGTTGTAGTAGTTGCTGGCGGTTCCTAAACCAGTCCAGATGAATCTCGCGTAGGACAGGAGTGGGCCCAGGCCCAGACAGAAACAAGGCCCTACGAAAACGACAACGACTGCGTGTTCAGCTCACGTGAACTTCAGCCACGAGTTTAGACCGGCAACAGAGAGCAAAGAGAGAGGAAGCCTTTGAACCTACCCGGCGCGGCCTGCTTGTCCGTGCGGTTCCACGCGGCCAGCAGCAGACAGACCAGCAGGATCAGGGTCCTGGTTGCCACGGAGATGCCCGGGGATCCCACCGCAGTGGCGTTGGGAGACACGGAGACCAGGTCCGCCACGATGGTCTCCAAACCAACAGGAGTCATGGTCCGGTCGCAGGCGGAGATCAGATCCATAAGAAAAGGCCGGTTGACATGAAAGTGCTCCGAGCCGTCTGGGGTTCCTCTTTATACGCAGGCTGGGCTGGTTGCGAGCCAGGTCAGGGTAATGCAAAAGCCACAACAGTGGAGGAAAATGGTAAACAATACACTCGTAACCTTGAGGCGTTGGATTCGCGCCCGTGTCCTTGAGCGTAGAGGACGCGGTTCGGCGGGTGTGCGTGTTGTGGAGTCCGATCCAGCGGGTTCATGGGTCCTATTTGACATTTTGATGATGAGAAGTTTTTCTCTCCCTTTGAACATGAGAAGAATCAGAGCGGAGGAGCACCTGGCCTGTGAGATCCAAATGGGTTATTGTTGATATTGTTATTGCAGCTTTATCTCTCTAGCAAAAATATAATTCTCAGCTTTTTACTTCAGTGTTTTTTGTTTCTTCTATGAAAGGAAGGAAAAGGAAAAGATTTGTATATTTGGTGGTGTTTTAAAGTCTATATATTGGAGCTTTTTGAACTATTTGTATTTTATGAAGAGAAAATCCGACCGTTACACAACAGTTCTTCAGCTGCTCACCTGCCTCAAAGGTGGAGGGACTTAAAATGCTGTGATTAAAACTCAAAGGCAGACTTTTTCAATGCCTGGAGACTTTGACTTATTATCAGGCCCCAGATTGATGATTTCAGCATTTCTTTTGAAATATCGTGCTTACATCCCGACATATCTTTATTATGTTTATCGTTTTTGGAGGACTCACAAGTTGTGCCTTTCTTAACATATCTTACACTTATGTATCTGTCAACACGAAGCTTCTTGATAAAGCTTTCTTCAAAAATACATCTTTTTAAAAACAGAAATATATCATTTGTACAGCACATTGTTTGCTACATTTATTCATTTAATAATACGTCTATTTATTGCCTTCTATGAACCCTGTTTACAAACCTCGACCTAATTTTAAGCAAGCGGTTATATATTTTATTTCATTTCGCAATGGCCACAGAGCCAAATCCCGTTTGGCTTGTGCCTTTGTTCCATGATCTCATTCCGCATTAAGCGACTCTGTGAATTCACCCACCGCCCACACGAGTCCAAGAATGCGCGTAGCTCAACTGGCCGACTGTGCGCCGAGGCCCTGAGTGATGGCTTGGACCTCGATTGTCCTGCATGATTAGGCAGAGGCAACACAGACCCCCCCCCCCACACCCTTCATCCCCCTGCCATGTGAAAAACAGCAGTGGATGTAACCTCGTCTCTGTGCTCTGCTCCGTGGTCAACCACATCTTTGTCTCCACCACATGTGGAGGCGGTTGTTCCCAAGTGAACAAAGGAGATTGACAGAAGGCCGGAGGAAAGTGGTTAAATGTCACAACACGTATGACGATGTCCGATTTGAAGAATTCCTCCTTGACGTGCAACATGCTGGTAAAAGTGAGTGGAGGTGATCTCAGGCCACAATATTCACTTTATGTGACCTGCCTGAGAACCAGTGAGCAACTTATCTCCCAATTCAGACTGCGATTGTGGTTGGAAAGAGAAAAGAGGAGCGGTTTGGTGGGAGGACGACGCCGGCTGTCCTTGGCCTGCAGCGGCGGGACGGACGTGGTCCTTTCAGCCCGGTGGTGAGAAGGGAGATAAGACGGCCTCATCAAGCAGCTGCTCCTCAAGCAGGGATTGCCTGAATCACACGATTCATTTAGATATCCGTGCAAGAAGCGGCCGCGTTCCTCTTCCTTTTTGCTCCCCGTCTCAACTGGTCGAGCCGATGGTGCAGCGAACAAAAGGCAACAAAAAGTAGCCGCCGTACTTCTGCTGGAGCAATACGAGCTGTCCAACATCTTATGAGTGACCTACAGCCTGGGGAGTTTACACGATGCAGGCCCCAATCTAACACTAGTGTCGCTCTCTCTCCCTCTGAGTGTGTGTGTGTGTGTGTAAAAGTAAGACGAGGCATAACACGGCTGCGAGAGCAAGTAGGTCAGGCTCACATCTGGCACTGCTCCACATCAGCAGAGACGCGTATTAACTTCGCTTATTGAACTACTGAGGTGATTACAGAAAAGCTCCCCGTCCCAGCAGAGGCCGCCTAGAAGTGCGGTTTCTGTGGTGTGTGTCACTTTTCTTGCCGTTCGAAGCGATGGAAATGGGTCATTGATGCAGTTGGTGGAAGGACGCTTTGAGGATGTGGCGAGGACTGTCGCCGGGGGGGGGAAGAGGAAAGGAGGATACATGAAGAGGAGGGAGGCATGAAGACACTCAATGGAAACCATGTCCAACGCTTGTTGTCATGTATTCCTTTCCATTCAATTTGATTGGTCCTGGCGCAATAATAATGAATGCTAATAATATGAATGTGTGTCAACGTTAATAGCGAGCAGTCAGTTCGTCTGCTGTAATGCGTGCTCCCGTTGTGTTATGTGAGTGCTTTTGTGCGCGTGTTTATGATGTCACTCGGCCCACGGCGCTCCAGTAGAATGGGTTGTCCTGAATATAAATCGGGTGACTGAACAGGCGGGGGTTTCTTCCCAGACCAACCCAGAAAGATTGTGCAATGCCCACTCCTACATTACTGGTTTGCATGTGCACACACACACACACACACACACACACATATACACAACCCCTTCTCCACTTGGCGAACAACACAACGAGCACTTTGCCAGTCTGTCCTCAGATCGACCACCCAGTCGGACACTGAAGCTGACTGGACTGTATCTGGAGCTTTCACATAATCTGGATGGGACCTTGAACTTCAGCAAAGGACGTCCTTCCCGTTGGTTTGGTTTGATTTAGTTTGATTTGTTTAGTTTTTTTTTCCGGAGACGGGACCTTCTGTTTTCTGGCTCTTGGCCCTTTACATTCACTGCACTGGGATTTCCGGGCCCGCTGTGAATGCCAAAGTCGACGCGCGAGCCTCAGACCAGAGGAGGCGAAGTGGTGACCATGTGGATCCCGACCCCCAGCATGACCCTCCCGCAGCGCCTGGTGCTCTACGGGACGTGTGCCGTGGCGCTGTTGAACTCCGTGGGCCTTCTGGTGCTCTTGGTCCAGCAGAATCAGCAGCGCGCCCTGCTGGAGCGGACGGAGACCAAGCTGACGGAGGTGGAGCAGAGCTCGGTGGTGGAGTTCCTCCAGGAGGTGCCCAGAGGAGCGGCGGGGCTGAGGGCCGGCGCCGGGGAACACCAGCAGAACCAGTATCAATACCAGTACTCCAGGAATAAGAGAAGTGAGGCGCTGGAGAAGGAGGTGCAGCGGGAGGACGGACAGGAGGAGGCCGCTCAGCAGGAGGCCAGTCAGGAGGTGGGAGAGGAAGCAGAGAGGAAGACGAAGCACGAGATGAAGCACAAGCACCAACACGGACAGAGCTACCACAAGGCACACGTGCAGGATGACATGATGATGATGATGACTTACTCCATGGTCCCGGTGAGACGATGTTCCTTTATACAACAGAGAAATAATGAGGAGGGGAGATTTATCTGGGGGGTTTTGGACTGGAAACTGTGGAAACTGTAACGCTCCAGCACCAAACAAAGCAATGTTTTAACTTTACCGTGAGATCTTCTTTTTCTCCTTAGATCAAATTGTTGATTGACATTTGCAACAGCACCAGGGGAGTCTGCATCGCTGGTACGTCTCATTTATATACTTCAAACAAGGTACTCGGCAGGCAAAGCTTCGCTTTTTTTAAATGATCAGTGTTCACAAAATGGCCAAAAGCTCGACCCAGGAGGCAAAGTAATAAGTGCAAGCTGATGTGGAAACAGAACCAGGGTGAGAGCAGGTGGGGGTGTGAGTTGGAGTTAGAACCCACGAAGGACCACCCGAACCATCAGCCTTTTTAAATCTCTAACATCCTACAAACCTTCTGTTGCAGGACCACCGGGGCCGCCTGGTAAGCAAATTTGTTTCTTTAAAATCAAGCCGTACTGTATGTCTCTCTTGTGGTTAAGTGACCCGTATTGTAGCTGAATGTGTTTTCCATTCATACCAATGGAGAGGACCTTTTTTTTTTGTGTGTGTTACTGTAGGATTACCCGGTTTGGACGGCCTTCCCGGCCACAATGGGACTGATGGCGTTCCCGGGCTGAATGGACTGCCGGGGGCTGATGGGAAAAGAGGAAAGAAAGGTAAGGAATGATTGGCACTGTATTCTGTCTTTACTCACCATCCATTTTATCGATGCCTCGAGCAACGCTGGCCTTTTTCGGTGAAGAACTACGGGTTCAAGGCCACGGACAAAGCGCTGAGTATAACCGGGGGTCAAAGATGCCCAAATATACAGAGAATCACACGCAGCCACTTAAAATGACGCACACACAAATGCACCGATGCAAACATACCAACGCGGTTTGATGTATCAAAATAACATCAGATTTCACAGGAAGCCAAAGGAAATGTTCATGGTTTTAACGCGGCTAAGTCTTTTGAGTCCACAAAGGCTGCTTTCCTCTCCAGGGGAGAAAGGGGAGCCGGGGGAAAAAGGAGAGCGCGGAGAGGCCGGTCTGCAAGGAGAGAAGGGACAACCGTCCAATGACGTCATCATTGAGGGCAAGTCGAGCTTTTCACTCACAGCCTTGAAAATGTTGGATCCCTAATATGAGATTATCTACAGATTGGCCAAAATATCGGACTAGAAAAAATTCCATCCAGAGGTTTTATATATGATCTTTTTCCTCTTTGCACAGGTCCTCCTGGGCCGCCAGGTCCGCCCGGGCCCCCGGGACCCCCTGGCCCTCAGGGGCCTTCCAGAACAAGGCACCACAGAGCCAACCTTCAGGCTGCTCACACTCTGGGTGGGAGGTCTTTGTTGACCGTTATCAAACATATTACACAAGCAACCTGTTTACCCATGTGTGATTGGGAGTGAACACCGCCAGTAACGCCAAATGAAACGGTTTCCAACAGGACTTTTGCAAGCGAATCCAAACGACGAAACCTCCTCTGTGAAGGAGGCTGTGAAACTACACCAGCAGCCCGCTAAGAACAACGGTGCGTGTTCAGAGAAGCGTGACGCGTGACACTCGCGTGATGCTCGCGTCTCAGCCTGGTGTCTCTTTGCTTCCTTTCCAGAGTGCCTGATTAAGTCTCTGATCAACCCCAGGAATGTGACAAAGATGGAGAACACGTTCGGCACGTGGATGAAGGACACCGCCCGGCTGAACGACGAGAGGATTTGGGTGGCGGAGCACTTTTCTGGTGGGCTGAGATTCGAATGTGTTCTTTTTTTTTTTAAGGGCCGCGAGAGCCGCGCTGAAGTCCCGCCTTTTCGCCTTTTTCTTGTTCTTCCCCAGGTCGTGTGGTGAAGGAGTATCAGAGCGCCGCCTCGCTGCAGAACAGCAGCAGCGCCGTGGACGTTAGAAAGTTCTACCAAGGCTGCGGCCACGCCGTCCACAACGGCTCCTTCTACTACCACATCGCCGGCACCTCCAGCATCGCCCGGTGAGCCCAAGAGCCGGCGAGGAGCCGGCGCCGCGTTCGCTCTGCTATCGCCTCCGGCCCCTCTGAATAACAGCCGCGTTTGTCCGCAGATTCGACCTCCTCACCAAGAGGCTTCACACGCTCACCATAGACAACGCGTTGCACCACAGCCTGGCCTACCTGCTGCACAACTCCAAGACCTACTTCAAGCTGGCGGCGGACGAGAACGGCCTGTGGCTGATCTTCGCCTCCAGCGTGGACGAGGGCGTCACGGTGGCCCAGCTGGACCAGAAGACCTTCTCGGTCACGTCCTACATCAACACCACCTACCCGCGCACCAAGGCCGGCAACGCCTTCATCGCCTGCGGGGTCCTGTACGTCACCGACACCAAGGACACCAGGGTCACGTTCGCTTTCGACCTGCTGAAGGGGAAGCCGGTGAACGTGACCTTCGACCTGAGGCCCGCCGGCGGCGTCCTGGCGATGCTGTCCTACAGCCCGGAGGACAGACACCTGTACGTGTGGGACAACGGCTACGTCAGGCTCCACGTGGTGCACTTCACCTCTGACGAGTGACGGAGGGGACGTGGGACTGTTGAGCAGCGAGAGCCGGCGCCGACTGATCAATCCGCCTCTGGGAACTCGTCATATTTACATTTTTAAGATTTTTTTATCTTCCCGTAGAGCATCCCGTCACATCGGTTGTTAAAAATCTTTTTTCCGGTTTCCTTGTCAAACTGTTAAAGATAAATAATGCTGTATTTATATTCTATTGTACATGTGAGATTTGGGATTTACTAACGGCGTGTAAACTTTTTTTTTTAAAATTTTGTATCAAACTATTTAATTTGTATTGAACATCTAACTGCACCTGTTTGACCGTCTGTGTTGTGAGCTTTTAGTCTTCTATGTATTTGCATGATGTATTGTATGTATTTTCACATTGATGCACATGTTATCCTGTTATATTCCGTACATATTGACAATCCACCGGACCTTCGCGATGAAGCAGCATGACATCGGCTGGTCGCTCTTTCCTTCTCGACAGAAAATCACAACAAAAACAAAAACAACAGTGCCAAATCAGCCTGATGAAATAAAAAGAATTTATTCACTTTACAAAGGTAAAACTCTGACCATGACCTGTTCTCTCACACACCTCCAGGCTCAAGTGCCCTAGTAATGATGCTAGCGTCTACCCATTATATAGGCTTGTTTTGCATTATTTCATGCACACACATACACACCAGTAGGACCATTTTAAAACACTTAAGCTACATACAGTACACATAGGGGGCCGAAAGAGGGAGAGAAACACAAATCTCTTTAATAAATACCATACACACACATAACAAAAGTTACAACTAATCCAGCTTGTATGATACAAACCAAAAATAAAGAAATGCTTTCATGTTTGTACAAGCTGTTGTGGTATTTTATATATATATATATATATATAAATATGTATATATATATTCATATCATTTATATATTAAAACTATTTCAAATGTTGTACTACTAGGCCAGATAAAGCCAGACATTCATTTGTATACAACAGTTTCTTCTTTGATATTCTATTTATTTGAGATAAACCTTTTAGTTCTAGTGTCTCCAGAATTTGAGTGCAAATATCGATTTGTTAGTGATGAAACGGTAAAAACAACTAGCGAGGTCACTCACACACACACACACACACACACACACGCACACACACACACACACACACACACACACACACACACACACACGCACACACACGCACACACACGCACACACACACACACACAGCAGACTGTGTTGCACGTCGCCCAGTCGGATACAGTAAAACCCCTCAAAGTAAAAGGCAATAAGTTAAAGAGGAATGCTCGGACGAAAATAAACCTACACAAAAATATAAATAATTTAAATAATGAAATTAAATTAATTTTAAAACAAGTTCAAGGATATTGTTGTGCAAAACCAGAAGTGAACCGCTGTGTTTCTGCTTCGGGTTCGGGCCAGACAGATGGAAACGTTAAAGTCACATTGACAGGAGTCAAATCTTCCGAACGGGAATGTTCTAGCAGGGAGTCGGCCGCGCACACACACACACACACACACACACACACACACACACACAGAGGGCAGACATAGCAGAGTCAACACACACTGACACACACGCACACACACATACACACACACACATACACGCACACACACACACGCACACTTGGGGACAAAGCGAGCCGGATCGAGCCCAAACTAGGAGAGTGATTGACGGGCAGCCAGTGAAAGGGAGGGAAGGGAAGAGGGGGGGCAATGCACCATCTACTTCTCTGGACTGAGAGGAAGTGGGCAAATAGTCAGGTGGGGGCTTGGGGGGGGGCATTGAAACAAAAAGCAGATTCCAACAACTCGATTCACACCGGAAACCACCGACTTAATAACAAAACCACAGCGCTGGTTACAGTAGATGCTAAGAGATTTCAGCCGTGGGCACAAAATGACGACAGTTACACACTTTTAAAGTTTTTGCTTGAGCACTTTTACAGAGCACTATCAATAGACCTGTGATTGCACCGCGGGACGAGAACAGGACATGCATAGCTTCCCTATGGACACACTCTAAGAGCAGAGACTCTTCAATAAAATTACAATGAATTTAGCTTTAAAATCAAGTATGATACCTTTTGCTCGAGACTTTGCCTTCAGCCTTCGGGGGAAAAAAATAAATAAAGAAACGCTTTCAGCCCCATTTCCCCCCCCATTGTCGATAATAATTTACATCAACAGTAAACCCATGAACACTCTGAAAGATGCCAAAAGGCCCGGAGGACTTTTGACTAACTCTTCCCCCTATCCATTAAACTCTCAATAGCAAGTGTAAGCTCTTTGTGTTTTTGTTCCGTTCCGTCTCTCTGGACCGTCCGGAGTGGAAGCCGGCGTTACAGGACGTCCACCAAGCTGCTGGGGATGTTGTAGCGGTCGGGCAGCACCCTCATCTTCAGCGTGCCGTCCGCTCCGCAGGTGAAGATGCGGTTGCCGGGCCGCGTTTCCACCTTCATGACACCGTTGCCGATGTTGCGGAAGATGGACTGCTTGGCATGCTCCGTGCTGAAAGAGTGCATGAGCCCGTGGCCGGCCAACTTCCACACCTGGAGACAGAGACAGAGAACACGTGTTGAGTTTCCTTTCCTTCTTTATTGTGCTAAGCCACCGCGATTTCTTAACTTAACAAGCATTAGGAGGACAGTTTTTTAATCCCACGTCTGATTCATCCGATCTCATGTTTTTTTTATACAGCTGCCGTTATCAGCTCAGCTGCGTTGATGTCACATTTTTCCGAATAAATCGAATGCAGCAACGCAATTTCGATGGCCAATAAAACTATATTTCTTTACTATATTACTATAATGCATTAAATAGTTAGGGTTTTTTCATCAATTCATAATGTGAATTACTAAAATTAAATTATATTTATATATTCACATCAGCTTTATTTTACTTTGTTTTGTATGTTACTTTTATTATTGCTTGTTTGTTTCGCTTGGTTTTATAATTTCCTGTTTATTTATTAATTCTATATTATTCAATAGCATAAAGCGTCTTGAAACGTGTTATAGCCGACTTACTTTTCAGTGTTTGATACTTTATAATCCGTTTATGAATACTAACACATTCCACAGGAAAAGGGCAGACCCAAACACTAAAAATAGCATCCTATTTGCTAAAAGCACATTGGTGAATCAGTCTGCATTCATCTAGAATATGATGGATTAAAAGTAATCCACCATATTCCTATTAATCCTCAGTGCACACCCAGCCTATGACGGCCTATGTGCCATGGCGGGTCCGTGAGCGAGTGAGCGATGCGTCACCTTCACGTTGCCCTCTGCAGAGCCAGTGACAAAGAAGTCCTCGAAGGCGTCCAGTGCGAGGGCCTTGATGGCGGAGTCATGGGCCTGGAAAGTGTGCAGCAGCTGCCTCTGGCGGATGTCAAACACGCACACAAAGCCCTTCCTGCCTCCAGTGATGAGCAGCTGCTGTTTGGCAGCGTACTGCAGCACAGTGGCCCCGTTCTCATGGCAAGGGAACGCTGAAGGGGCGGAGCCGGGAGAAACCGGGAATTGGATCACGACTTGATGTACGGGGGGGGGATCGTCAAATCGAATGGTGAAATTTCGGCTTTGTTTTGACGCATTTCTTACCGTGGACCATGGTATTGCTTGGTGAAACCAGAGTATCCCACAGGCAAACATTCCTGTGGACAAAGTGAACGACAAAGGACGACATGAGTGAGGGGACAACAACGCAGGATTGTCTCCTGGTGGTCGGGTTGCAGATGCTGACCTGTTATCGTTGGACTGTCCGGCGGTGGCTATGAGGCTGGAGGAGGTGATGAAGTCGAAATCACCACAGGTCTTACTGTGGCACTGCCAACTCTGCAGGACAACAAACAGCACATCATCACCGTGAATGACTCATGGTTCATTTTGTTGTTATGTCAAGAGGTACGGCAGAGGTGGTGATGGACAAGGTGTGGGAGGCGGGAGGAGACCTCACCAGGTAGGGTTTGGGGTTGGAGGATGTCTGGTTGACCTGCCAGAGACTGAGGAAGCCCTCTCCGTCAGCGACTCCACACTGCAGGAGGAGCACAGAGCCATCAGAACAATCACAGACCCTGCTGTGTGTGTGTGTGTGTGTGTGTGTGTGTGTGTGTGTGTGTGTGTGTGTGTGTGTGCGTGTACCTTATTGCCCTGGGAGTTGAAATAGAGTCGGGTGACTCGGGCGTTGCCTGCTTGTCTGAAGCAAATGAGCTGTTGAGGTCTGTTCCATTCAAACATTCTCACACTGCCATCCTGAGCCCCTGTCATGTCTGACGCACGCATGTACACACACACACACACACGCGCGCATAGAGTAAGAAGGACCAAGAGTGGCAGGCAGAGGGGAGGAGAGAGATGAAGTAGGGTAAGAAGCTCATCAAAATGAAAACGTTGTGGTCGTGCTCTGAGGGAAAGGCTCACTTACAATACTGATATATAGGATGGGATGTCATTCTCTTAACGTTGTTTAGATTCCTCTTCATAATCTGAAACGACAATAAAAACACATGTTATGTCATGTATGATGTTCACAAGATAAATCTTTTTTATTTTCAGGAAAACAAACATTTTCAACTGCGTTGCCCTTGAGTTGAGTTTAGAAAAAATGCTTAATGATGATTTTGGTAAATTCTTAATGCCGATAAGCAGAATGCTTTCTCTTAAGTTTGATTAGAAAATCAAATACACGTTGCTCACCGTAGCAAACAAATCTACTGGAGCATAAACATTGCAATATTATTCTGATAAATTAAACTCAACATCAATTAAAAACCAACTGTTGTCAGTTTATCTCCAATAAACCGAGAGCCTGTTTACATCCTTTAAGCCCGGTGCGACTTACTGACTAAACTCCTTCATTTTCTTTCTTTTGTACCAATATTACAATAATGATTTATTAACCCCAATTCTTTCATTAGCACGTGTTTGTCATAACACACTTCTATTTATCAGGGGTTGCAGGACGCCGTCTTACTGCCGAACCAAACAGTGCTCTTAATCAACCAGACTCCGTGGAACACTTCACAGAGCCTCCTCGCTGAACCTGCGTGACGCTCGCTGTCCCGTCTCGCTTCGTGTATCGCACTCTACTGCCCACATTTATCAACATCTCTGGGACATGGAGCACCCTGGGTGCGTGTAAGAGTGACGCAAATCTGTACCTTGGGTTACTGGCTGCGAGAGATGCTGCTATCGTGTGTTTATGTACGTCCATCTCTGCCGCGCAAACACACGCACACCCTGTCCGTATCAGCCTCCATAGACTCAGCAGGCCAGCTGTTTAGTCGGCGCAGCTCAGTTTGGCTTGACATTGATAAGAGTTAAACTTTCAAACCCCCCCCCCCCCCAGAAAAATGCACAGGGGAGGCGGGCACAGGCTGCAGCATTAAATCCAAGTTTGTTTAGCTACTTTTTAAATCATAAATCAGAAGTTTGCCTTTGAAGTTTGAATAAAGCTTTCCTCATGCACGTTATGAAAAGAAAGACTGCAGAGCTCATTGAAGGCTATGGGCTTCAAAAGAGAGCTTAGTCTCCCCCTACTGGCTGTCCTGGAGAACTGCAAAGCCAAAAACGCGCACTGCGGCCGCGCTTGAGTCAGACTGTGTCGGGTCGTGTGTGAACTCGTACCACGCTGGCCCCCATGCTGGTCTGCCCACTGCCGAGCCACGGCATGGACGCAGAGACCTGCATCTGTGGGGGTGCGAAGGGGGCAGAGCTGGCCTGGGCAATGTTGGTGTGAGAAGAGCGATGGTCCATGTCGTCAGAGCTGCAGCACACAACACAACCATAAACCGACGCCGTCAATGTTTTGTAGAGAGGTTTGAAACACAGACAATGCACAAAGAGCTATTCACACACTAAACAATGAAGTCTGCAGGTGTTTAAGATAACGAGATCTTTTGAATTTTTAACCACAAAAACACCATTCATCACCAATCATTACGGCTGAGTTATGAAAGTATGATGATGAAAGAGTCGAGACAATGTGGCCTATAATCAATCTTCACTAAATCACATTCTTCCATTACTTTCTGGCAGAATACAAAAATGAATTGTCCTTTGATGTAATGAGTTAAATGTGACTATGATCTGAAAAAAGAGGTGCAAAGTACTAGCAGAAGAAGATATGTTTATGCCAGGCTTCATTTCTGCAGATAACCATTTACAAAAATATATTCGGATCGGCCCTGAAACGGACTGTTAGGATCTGCTCGGTACAGTTACGATTGTTGTTTCCCTTTTTCATTTGAATGTGTGGAACCAGAACATGATACGTTAATGATGCTTAATATAAAGCATTATGCACAACGTTGATCCCTTTGACGACAGACAAAATGCCGCCTATGATTCTGCCCTGAATCTCACCTGCGGGACTCCTTATCAAATTCGTCCCCTATCCAGGTGAAGGGCTGCACAGCCACCAGCGTTGACACGTCCACTTCCTGGACATCATGAGTGGAGGCCAACACTATCTCGTTGGAGTTGGACTGTGAAAGGAGGGAAGCAAGGAAGAGAGAAGCAAGGAGCTGATTAAAAGTGGACATGGCCGCCGGTTTCCTCTAGTTTCGAAGAAAGGAACAAACATGTAATTGTATTTTAGGGATTAGGTCTTCTGGTAGTGTCTAAAAAAGTCTCTATCTACCTTTTATTTGGGGCCAAATGTATAGTTCTTTCCAGGAAACATGTCATCAGGTTATTATAGACAGATAAAATAACGCTCCACACAATATATTTTGCTACATAAACATCTCACCTTATTGATGGCAAATGCCATGATTATATCCGACTCTTTATGAATGATTCGAGCCTTTCCTCCGGGGTAGCCCAGATCTGCTTCCACCTGGAAAAGAAAAGAAATACATCAAGGTTTTAAGGTTTAAGCTAAAGTAATAGGCCTTAGTTTGAAAAAATAATTTTTGATTTTTTTTTAAGGCCTATTTGTCATAAATACCGTATGCGTTACATTCATTTCCTCCAACACCCACCATGATTAGCAAGCCTTTTAAAGCCCGGACAGTGAGCATGCAGGTTAGTACGTCTACTGTATGTGACAACTCTACTAGGACGAAAGGATTTATTTTTGTTGTTGCTTTTGGGGCCAGCAGAGTCAGTCCAGCTAGAGAGGAGAAAGCAGTGAGAAACGCAGGGACACGTGTTACTGGTCGGAGGTGAGGTTATGTGAGCGGATGTCAGAGGTGTCCCAGTGATACGGAGAGATATGTCCTCAGATCTATGCAGAGGAATCACTATCAGACCAAGCAGAGGAGGCGACATTACCAAGCATAGTTGGTATTCTTTTGAAGAGCAACGCGGTCGGGAGATGCAGAGGCAGAAAAATGTATTTCATCCTCCAAAAATAGCCAGTTTAAATATACAGTATATTAACAGTATATAAACCCCTTATAAAAGACCAAAGTCAAAAAAGAAAAAACACTACTGGAGGTCATATGCTGTGTTTGGATGAGTATCTCCCAGATACACAAAAAAAAAAATCCAAACAATCACTTTGAGAGCTTCCCCCAGTGTGCCACCTCTAGCCACAACATGCAGAGCGTGTGCGTTTGGTGCACGGTACTTCTTGCAGAGTTTAATTGACCTTTTCATGCCCCTTCAAGCTTGGCTTTACAGTGATTCTTCCAAACGGACAGACGGACGAACAGACAGAGAGCCGGGGGCCTCGGCCGGTACAGTAAATGATACTACCTTATAGGGGCCGCTAGCTCCTGCTATGCAGTTTGGGTTTATACGGTCCATGTGGTTCTCTACAGACTTCACAACACACACAGAGGCAATGTAGACGCAGAACACACCGACACGGAACGACACAAAACACATGCACAAACACAGAAAAATGAAACATGGAATGAAAAAAAAATGTATAAAGGACCATCTTTGATGTATACTTAGTGATAAAATGCAAACAACCTCTAAACACAGTCATGCGGCAGGATGAATGAAGAATGAACTAAGCATCTGCGACCAAAATCCCCGTGACTGACATTCACATTAGCGGCCGCACACAAAAGTAATTATGTAATAAAGAAACGTTGCGGGCGTCGCAGAAGGCAGTCAACTGTCCTGTACTTGGCTAAAGACGTGTAAGGAGGCAAAGCAATGATAATGACTTCTACAAAAACATCAACAACACAGATAAATGCTCAGTGAGCACTTCTCTGTGCATTGCAAGGATTGAGACACATGCGTAGGATCTGGGTATCACAGCAGTAGTATCATTATCTATTGAGGCAAATTATCTTTAAGTATTTGAGGCTTCTGATAAAGACGAGCTCCCAGAAGTCACACATAGTTTTGTTTTTTGTTGCTGAAATGTGTTTATTTTTCGTCCACAATAACCACCAAAAGACACTTTATCAGTGATGATATGTTTCTTCGATTCTCTCGATGAAACAGACTTTGTGTTATGTATCTGATAAACGCCTCCATAAATCATCATCTCCTGTCTTAGGCGTCTTGGAGAGCGAAAGGCTTGCGTGGGAAGTGTGTGCATTCTGTCTTCCATGCATATGTGTAACCCTCTTCACACATGCGCTGCAAAAATAACATTGAAATGAAAACGTATACTGAATTGGCACATTTATACATTATGTCCGTGCTTTTTTCAGGCCTTCTGTTGTATTTGTACATCCAGAAACTACATTTCATGGCTGGGTGTCACTGGTCTGCTGAACCCTTACGTGTCTCATCAATCATCATTTTTTAAAGCTCTAATCTGCTAATCCATACACTTTTAGACCTCTCGAAAGTCAAATGTGAGAGAGACACATTCAAATTAAGGAGAATATTGTTCAATACTTGGGTCAATACAGTGCTTGAGTTGGGGGAAGTGACATTTACCTTTTGGCGTAAAAATGAACTAACATGATAATTATTTAAGTTAAATAAAACAATCGTGGGTCTAATTATCTTAGCTAATGAACACTGAACAGAAGAAAAAACAAGCAGATATTATAATATGCATGTGGGCAGCTGACCTCACACTGCTTCCTTTTCTTGGTAAAGATGTAACGGATCAACGTCTCCTGAAGAACTTCCTGTTTGACCAGGAAGTGCCAAAGACGTCGGGCTGGAAACGACTGAGTGTTCTTTGTCCTGAGAAAAAATGCATGGACAAAAATAAGTTGGTCACATATGAGAACATCCACTAACGGGTCGTTACAGTAAATACTTGATCTGTTATGACATGCGTGACTAAATGTTCTCTTGCAAAATGCACAATACGCTTTATTGCTATAGAAAGGGAAAAAGAAGCCACGCGTTAAATATTCTCTTCCTCTGTATTATCAATTAATACGAACCATGTGGACTTTCTGGGGCTGTAGTGTACATAAATAACTTGTGAACGGATAGAATTCAATTGTAAATTTGTAAATTGAACATGGTATTTGTCTTATTGTACATTGTTTCATTATCATATTGCCCAAAGTTATGCACCAACAGCCATGTCAAATGCCGTGTATGTCTAACATACTGTGGCAATAAATGTCCCTGATTCCTGAGGAAATAAGTATTTAAAAAATGTAACCAATACGTAATTAAAGATCCAATAAACATTCACACACATTGTGTTTCCTTTTTGTTTTTGAATTCAAAACCTTGATTTTTGGATAAAGTGCGCTTGTAAATATGTCAAGAGAAGAATCATATAACTCAAAGTAAACTCCTGAGCTACTGAGTTAGTTTGCATTAGCTTCAATTTTCATCTGTATTTCCCTACTTACTGAATGTAGTAAAATAAATGGAGGCGTTGCTGCAAAGAGTGTGTTAGACTGTTTCCACATCTTTGCCTGTGATGCAATACTCACTTGAAGGGTGTGTTGTCTGGCTCCAGCATGGCCTTGTGTCGGAGTATGGCTGGGCCCCCTCCTGCGCTGAGGTCGGTGGGGTAAGTGTTGATGTAGTTGGGGGGCGGGCCGTCAAACTTGTTCATCCTCTCCAGCAGAAGCTGCTCCCAGTGCTCTAACGTCTTCAACACGGCGTTGCTGAGAGGGGAGACGACTGGCAACTCTGTGACACAAACACATTCGCAGCAAATACTGTGGGTGGGTGAACCACCAGCGACAGGTCCCTTTAAACAAATGATTCTAAATATACAAAAAGGTGTAGTGCGTACCTGCAAAGTCAAGGCCGGTGATGGGGAGGAAGTTCTTGACGTTGTGATGGGCCAGTTTCACCATCGCCAGGCGGATCAGAGCCCAGCTGCGTACCACACGGACAGACGCGCAGCAGGTTCAATACGAGACTTCCGATTGGTCATCGGGAAAAAAGCAAACGAGCAGCGGTTGAGCTCTACCTGTAGGAGTTGGGGTCGGAGTGCTCCGTCATCTGCGTGTCAGAGAGGAAGGCGTCGTCGTCGTCTTCGTCCTCCTCCGCGCCGCTTTCGTCCGAGTCACACAGAGCATTGCTGTCCGACAGCGGCAGGAAGGGCTGAAATAATGAGGGCAGAGAGAAGGCACATGGAGAACGCTGGTAACTCTTTATAATGAGCCGAAGACCACGAGTCACAGCTCTCATTAGTGCATTCAACATATGTGTGATTGAGTGCCTTACTTTGGCCACAAAGTAGTCCCACATGCTCAGCTCCGGGGGAATGAACTTCTCCCTGTACGCGGGCCTCTCCGGGGGCACCGGAGGGGGGGTGGCTGGGGTCTCCTTCACAGGACGTCCGGGAACGAGCATCCTCATGTTGAACCTGCGTCGGTAGCGGTCCCCGTCCTCCGCTGGCACCTGAGGGGGAGCCGCTGGGGGAGGGAGGGGCAGAGAGATGGTATCTTTCAAACACAATGTACTCTGATAAGGTCAGTTCGCAGCAGACTGCAGTGCGCTGCAGTGTTGCATAAATGACGAGGATGAGCCGAGACTCCGAGGCCAAAAGAAAGTCAAGAGGGAGAATATATAAGGAGGTGGTGAATTGTACTAACTTACAAAGTATAAACTTATACATTTGGTTCTCTAGAAATTATGTTTCAATTCTTCGACCTTGATGACTCATCGCACACAAAAGACAAATCGATACACTTGGAAAAGAGACACAAATGCGCACATACAAAAGTTGAGGCTGGAAGCACAGCGCAAGACACACACACAGGCTGTGCACAAACCTGCACCATCATCCTGCGTGACTATCTCTGGCATTGCACCAGACAAAACAAGAGACAAGACACAAACCAGAGTAGACAGTGCAGTTAGACACACAGACACTGCACAGACCATTGCATAATTCATTCAGTGTATATTTGAGGTAGCGCGTGGCACATGGTACGCACAGAGAACACATCAAACAACGATGGCAAATCTGCTGTAGCTGAGCAGTCATGTGATAAGCGTTGACACGATGACATTGGTGACGATAACATGTTTTATTTTGTTTTAAATTGAGTGCAGATTGGAACATGTGTGTGTGTGTGTGTGTGCGTGTGTGTGTGTGGAGCCATGCTTTAGAGTTTGCAGGGTCCCTCCAAAGGGCAGAGTTTTGACATTTGGCGAAGTAAGTCTTATAAAGCCGGCTGGCATTCAAGATCCCCTTAACCAGCTCCTCAAAAGGCTCCCGGCTTTGCTGAGAGCCATCTCAGACTCGACAGGGATATTGAGTCTAAATGCCAGCCCATATCTTCTCCCCCTCACACACAATGTGAGGACAGATTACTCTGGTCTAATGAATATGAACAGTCCAGTTCAGCCATCAGACTTCCGACTCACACAGTGCAGCTACTCGGGAAATGGCTCAATTTCCACAAATCTGAAGGAAATTGGCAAACAGCAGAATAAACTCACACAATAACTGTCTATGATGGAGGTCACTAAAACGGACAGAACTAGATGTACAGCTGCAGCGCTACGGTAGTTATTTCACTGTCCTCTCAAGATGTACCTGGTTTAGTCTCAGATTTAGTCTGAGAGTTCTGCTCAGCCTCGGCCTCTGAACACTCCTCGCTAGGCCCAGCTGTCGCTTTGGTGGCACAATGGGAATGACACAATGAGATGAGCAAAGTGGACGTCACTACAAGTACATGCAATACAGTACACACGCACACACACACACACACACACTCACACATAGCGTTTGGCTTATAACATTGAACACAGATGACAATGTCTTCATAGCAGAGACTTGTTGTTTGTTATGGGCATTCAACTGCTAGCTGAGACAGAAAGAGAGAGAGATGGTCAAGCATCTGCAACAATGCAAACCTGTACAGTTACCATGCACTGCAATCCCGCAAACCAGCACTGCAATCCACCAGCCCAGTTACTCACAGCCGGTCTTAGTTGCTGGAGCCACAGTGCCTAAACCCTCTCCCCTTGAAACGGGAGGAGGGGGTCGTTTGGGACACAGCGTTTCAGTGGGGGTGTGAGTGGGGTTTGGGGTGGGGCTGTTCTGCTCAGGTCTTCCTGCCTCTTGAGAGTCCTCTGGCCTGGCTGCCTCAAAATCAGCGGGCACTGGGACACAGGGCAGAGGGCACACTCACACAAGACACCACGCAGCAGCAGCAGCAGTATCTCAGGTGCATCAACCTAACGGCGCTGACCGTTTGCTCATGTAAATATGCAGGCAGGTCTGAAGCTTCGCCTCAGATCAGAGGTAAGATAACGACATAGAAAGTCAACACTCGAAGCAGAAGAGGACGCCAACAAGAAGAGAGTATACGGAGAGGGACCGATTATGAAGACCAGGGAGGAAGACGAAAGACAAAACAATGGCGGTGATGATGGCATTAAAAAAGGTATTAATATTTAGCAAAATAGGGACATAGTAATGATTCTACCTGGTGGGGCCTCAGTTCTCTTTGGCTTAATAATGAGTCTGGCCCCTCCCCCAAAGACAGCGGCCCACATGCGGTTGTTGAGCGGGTGCGCTGCCAGGCGGAAGAGTTCATTGCTGCTGTGGGTGCCCAGGCCGTGAATGAGCAGCGCGAGATAAACCGCCATGACCCCTTCACACAGCAGCACGTTGAGCCTCGGCTGGTCCGCCTCCCTGGCAGACGTCAACAGCGAGATCAGGGACGACACACCTGCAGAGAGAGGACACACATGCGCACACAACGTGGCATTTGCGTAAAAGATTAACCCGGTAAAAAAGAAAAGGAAAGAAAGAATAATAACAATTTCCACAGCAGAATAAAACACTATCTCTGCACAATACAGAAGCCATTCATGGAACATTTGCACCATGGCGTGATCAGTCTCTGTCTTTCTATTTCTTTCCCAGAGGCCACGGAGCTCCTATTATAGAACACCATCTGCCTCTCTGCATAAACACAGACTGCCTGCTTTGCTTTGCTGTGCTCTTCCTCTCCCGCTGCTTTGCCTATTCTCTCTGAGTCCCGTCTTTGAAGCTCACACACATGCATTCTGGGGGATCCGGGAATATTATCTAACTTTGCTTCAACCTCATTAAAACAATTCCTGAGAGTACTGAGACCAAACCGTTAAAGAGACATCTCGCTGATTGTCCTTACATATGAATAAATTGAATAAAAATCGTTCTCATTTTCTGCCTCTAGTTAAGACCCTAACTGTTACCTGGCCACTGTGCAGGAGCGGAGTTAGGAGTCACGTGTTCTTCGATGCTCTCCGTGCGAAGTCGCTTCCTCGCACTGAGCAGCAGGCCCTGGTACACCATCCCCTGTAAACTGGTTGGCCTCCGTCTGGCTGCTGCAACAAAGAGGCACACATGCAGGTCAACATTTTGGGAAACTTCTTTGGCTTTCTTTCCTAGAATAAAGTAATAAAAGGTACATTTCAATATATTTCTGTGTGGTTAGCTAGGATGAGTATCATGAACAAATTACCCATTATGTTTCACAATGTCTTTAACTCGGAAGGAAAAGGCAGGCAAAGAACACCTACGCATATTTTAAATAAGCCCCTAATGCTCATTAAAGAAATTTCTGATGGCAGTTTTAAATATTGCCGAGGCCGTTGGTCGAGGCACAGTTACCTGTAGCTGTGGCTGTCACACAGTGCCTGATAGACGCAAGCAGAAAGAGATGCTGCCAGTGTATGAAGAGCATTCACCTGAGGATGGAGGACGGACACAATTCGCTTATTAAACATCCAAATGAACGACTGCAGATATCAGAGAGAGGCTGCGGGCTATGCTGCATATAAGGTCAGCTTCTTATTTGAGTCCTGACCCGATCATCCATGATGTCGGGATGCGGCGTGGTCTCCAGGAGGGTGATGGTGTGGAGGATGTCGTGAATGTGGTTGCTGAGGTGGAGAACTGGGTTGGCGATGACCGTCTTGGTGGTTGCGATGCACGCCGATAGCAGCGGCAGCGTAGTAGGCAGAGGCAGAGGAGACTGCAGCTGCTTAACCGTGGTCTCCTACGGAAGGACAAAGGAAGATGGACATTTGCTTTTGCTGAAAAGAGGATTAATGCTGTGCATTAACGCGGCAGGATGTGCATGCGTTTATGAGTGTGCGTGTGTACCTGCTGGCTCTCCTGCAAAAGGAACAGAAGCTCCATGCGAACGGACGTGACTCCTCCCCCCTTGGCTCCGTGAAGGCTACAGTAGGACAGAAACACCCTCAGCAGGGCCTGGTTCTTCCTCAGCCACGCCTTGCGCCTCTCAGAGTGCTGCTGCTTGGCCTGGAGACGCCGCCGCTCCATCTGGTGACGCTCGTACGCCCCGGCTTCCGTGCGCTCCAGGGCGTCGTCCGATATGTCCACTGATGCCGTGCGCGCTCTCCAGCGCTCCACCTCGGAATCTTCGTCCTTCCCTTCCACCTACAGGTGAACAAAACAGATGCAGAATTAACAAAGGTCCCCCGGGAAGAAAGGAAAACCGCGGAGAAGATCTAGTAATGCACAGGCAAAGATCGGGCTGCATGGTCTACACCAAGTGTACCTTGTAGTTGCAGATGGTATGCATGGCAGCTATCTCCTTCTCCAGCCAACTGTAAAGCTGAAAGCGGAGCTTCCCTCCGTCCACCTCGAAGCCTGTGGCCAGCGTACGCAGCTCGGTCATCAGGATCTTCAGACAGGCGCGGAACTTCAGCTGCTCCGCTATCACGTCCACCTCCGACTCACTCTGGAATATGAGAGCGTGAGTTACTGGAAAAGGGAGCAAACTTGTGCAGAAGTTACCTTTATGGGAGCATTCCTGTGAAACCCACAAGGATTTTGCGGGTTTGCCGAATTTACAATTAAACTCTGCACTTCATAAAGGCTTCAATGAATCAGTTCTGGGATGTATTATTCGTACCTGTGACTCCTCCTTCTTTAGTTTGGAGTCGTCACTCTCTGAGCCTCCTTCGACTTTGGTCTCAGCCTCTGGTTTCTTCATGGTCAGACCATCCTCCTCTTCCTCCTCATCATCATCTTCCTTGTCCTGGTCCCAGTCCAGCTTCAGCTCGTCCTCCTCCACCTTCACCAGAGGCTGGCTCCAGTCCAACCCCCCCACACTATCGTTTGCTCCCCACGCATGCACAGGGGCTGCGGGGGCGCCCCATTCCACGCCTCCCTGGGTGCCATTTTCCAGGAGTTTGTTTGAGCTTACGTTTCCTTTGGATGATGCTTTCCTGAGAGGTAAGGAACTAGATTTCTTGGTAACTTTGGGAATCTTTGAGAGCACTTCCAGAGCCAGAACTGGGCAGCCCACCTACAGAACACAGAAACGCTTATTACAAAACATTGGCATATTGGACATAGGACAGAAAAAACATCATGAGAACTGAATTGGAGTGAGCGGCCATGTTATCGATGAGCCCACCTTGAAGTGTGCATTGGCAGTGGTGAAGAACAGTTTGCGCTCGATGAGGTTGATCTCAACGGCGCTGTTCTTCTCGGCGGTGAAGCCCACAGTTGTCGCTGTGGCCTCCGGGTTCGCGAAGTGGCGACGGATAATCAAAGGGTGCGTCCTCAGGTAGTTATAGAAACTAAACACCACGGGGTTGCAAGCTTTCACCGTCACATCTGACGTAGATGATCGAGAAAAGAAAAAAGGAAAAATCCGGTCAGCGTCGGTTTCAGGGGGTCGTGCTGCATCTTACTCACATGTCTGCAGACCACTTACCAGGGTTTTCATCACCATCTTTGGGGATTCGTTCCAGCAGTGTGTCCAGAGCTCGCGTGTAATCCTTCATGATCCAGTAGGCTATGCTGCGGAGGAACGGGTCCGGGTGAAGCCTGGAACAGTGGTAACCGCTTCCGTCCCTGTTACAACCCAGGACCTTCTCGTAAAGGAGGCCTTGGCAGGTGGAGGAGTTCTCAAAGTCAGCCTCGTACAGCCTTGCCACTATCATGGCCAACTGGAGGTCCTCCATCTTCTCCAACAAAACCTACACACAGCAGAGGAGAGGTTGTAGTTTGCCGTTTCACAAAATGTAGGAAAGCGCAGACGATTTCGGGATTCTGAGGCTGTAATTTGCTCTACAGTTAACACATGGTGCAGGACAATACAAAGCTCGCGCTTCTAGTCTCTGTTTTGGCTTATCTGCATATTTTGACTATGTGGAATAAAAATCCTGGCGAAGGAAAACCATGTAGCCTTTTTCATGCCTCCTATCAGCGTGATTTAGACTTCTCTCTTGCGATTAAAAGGCTGCAGAATATACAATTCTCCAAGCAACAGATATAGATATCCGCTACACTAGTGATGTATAGATTTGACTTCTACAAACACAACTTCAAACTCTTAATTGTATTTCCATTAAACAAGGATATGCCAAATGTCCACTTGAGGGAAATAGAGTGTTGGAGCAGACTCAACAGTAAAAAGCTGTGTCTGTGTATCGTGTCTATTGTTCTCACCTCAATGGCGTCTTTGAGTGATCCAGCCAGTAGGAAAAAGGCAGCGGACTGTTCAAAGCGCTGCTTCCCCAGCAGGGAGAAAGCATTTTTCAAAGCTGCCTTTCGCCAGCGGTCTTCACTGAAGTTGTTCTTGAAGAACTGAGTCATCTTCTCATCATGCTGAGACCTGCAAGCAGAGAATACAACCACACAGCTCAGTACCCCCTGACGGTTTTGTGAGAAATGGCACTGAAATTAAAACAGTAACTCGATTTAGAAAGGTTACGTGCACTGAAACAATGTCCCACCTGAAGAGCCCCCACAGCACAGCTTTCTTCTTCATGGCCAGGTAGAAAAGCGCAGCATCTAAAGGATCGTTGTGTTTCTGGAACGCAGCTTTACCTAACTGTTTATATAATATATGCACACCATAGAAAATACAATTCAGTTTGTTAGAAAATAATCTAATCAGATCAAAATGTCTTTGTGTTTTTAAGATACAGGTTCAACTGTGGTTCTGCCAGAGTGTCGACCAACATTTGCCCAAACGAGAACATTCTATAAGTGGTAAGCATCATAGTTAGCTATGATATCCAGTGGAGCCCATATTTCCCTTTTCTAGTCAAGTGGCATCACTGTCCTAATTTTAGAAAACATCAATTCAGTGCTAGTACCTTTTCCACCATTTTCCGCAGAGTGTTGATGTTACGAACCCACCAACCCACTCCGACAGCTTTGAGCTCAGACCACTGCAGGTCGCCTCTCTGCATGGCCGGGATCATGTTGAGCAGCTCCTCTTCGGCCTCAGAGTGGAAGGCCCATGCAAAGTGGCATGTTGATAGGCCTGCCACAGGAAGGAGACAGATATATCTGAGGTTCATTACCGAGATCTAATGCACAAGAAATCAACATCTCATTACCACAAAATCTGACGGTGTGGTGTTATTCTTTACAAAACCATGTTTTCTATGTGTACTTACCCTGGTGGAGCAGCTGCATGCGGTAGAGGGGGGGCAGAGAGGTGAGCAGGCAGGTGTGAAGACGCATGGCCAACAGGTACCTCAGGCCACACTCGTCGAGGGCCTCACCGCCTTTACACACACCGCACAGGGGCTTTGTCATTGTTATTTCATCGACCACTCTAATGGCAGCGACAGAACAAAGCCCTTTAAAACTGCAGTATCACTTGAGTTTATGCGATCCTGTCAGACTGTGCCTCTTGTCCCTGAACCTTCATACCCTCTGTGTGCTTACTTGGCCCTGGAACAACCTGCTGATGTCTTTCTCCCAAAAGACTAAATAAAAAGATGAAATATTGGTGCTGTGACTGTATACAAACAGTTAGGAACAGTTAGGAACACTACAAGCACTGTTGTTTATGTTAACGGGGAAAGATTTGATGGCTGGAGATTAACTATATCCATGAACACACAATCAAGAGAAATGATGCTTAGCGTTTATGTCTATAACATTTAGCCAATCTCCTACCAAGGTGAACGGTTTATGGACTGGTAGACGTTAAGGCCAACAAGTCAAATTACAAGCACCACTTTGCAGGTGTGAGTGCATCCTGTATCTTACATACAAAGTAGATCATAAAGCAATACTTTGCACATCTGCAGTGGAAATATTCTCCTCCCCCTGACGGATCGGAGCATTGGAAAAGCTACAGAAACAAGACCCTGGAGGTGTCCGTCCTTCCAAGTTAGGGACCAAAGGACACTTGAGTGAGGATGATTCACATAAGTGACAATCAAATGGATGAGAACACAAAAGTCAACACTAGAAATGATTAAAAACAACCAAGGAGGTCGGTTAACCACAATCTTTTCTGGGATCGCTGCATAAGCAGTTTCTAACCACCATAGACCTTTACTCTACATTATAATAGCAACTGTATCCATAATGTGATAGTAACCTATATGCACTAATATATATATGCTGACCTGTGCACTTCTGGTCAGTGGAGCTGGTGACCTCAGCACTGGTGGTTGCAACAGTATCGGCCAAGGCCACCAAGAACATCTGCTCTAGCCTGGTCAGTCCTGGTAGGCTTGAGTGCATGAGGTGACTGGATAAAACCTGCACACATAAGAAAACGGTATTTAAAGATGTTGTACTCATAAAAAAAAACAATGTCAGCCATTACTGTATATTTTGTAACAATATTATGTGCAGACTTTCCTATTATTCGCATTATTATTCTATTTCCTCAGAGTTATTCTCTTCTTTTTTAAGGACATATTTGGGGATCTTACCATAAATAGGCTACATCAATAGCATTTTTTTTAAATGGAATTCCCTTCTAAAAAAAAAAAAAAGAGAATGGCCATACCTGAGCATGCTCAGGGCCAAAGTAGGTCGGCCCATATTGGGAGAGGTTGATAACTCGAGACTTCTTCTCTGGCTTGTCGGTGGCAAAGGACAGATAATCATCTGTGGTAACGGATTGGACCTGTAAACACAGGAGAGGAGCAGTATTAGTGGACAACACCTTGAAAAAAATTAAATGAAGTCCTCGTCACTCTTTATACCTGGAAGAGGTCGGAATACTGGTCCTCTGCTGACTTCTGGGATCCATCACTATCCACCTTAGCTCCCTTGGCGCCCTCTTCCGCTCCCTTGTACGAGGTGTCTAGGTCAGCCAACATGAGGGAATAGAGGGGCAGCGGAGGGATGGAGTTGATCTCTGTGTAGTCCCTCCCCCCGTCGCGGCCGGCCACAATGGTGTCTTTAGCTGTGCTGCCGGTCACGCTGATAGTGCGGGACAGATGTCTCCTGGCTCCGCCCTCACCTGCCTCAACATCCCTCACCACAGCGACTTCCCCGGCAATGCACTTCACCAGGTGAGCAAGTATGGCCTGATGGATAGTTATGGAGAGTTTTTACACAAAATATAGACATGAATTATACAAATTTTAATGCAGCTATAAATAGACTTTAAATTTATGTGTGGAGGATTGGGGGTGCATGAATCCATTTGGGATGTAGGGGGGGATGAGAGTCCTAAAATGTTTGGGAATCGCTGATCAAGCATACAGCAAACAGTGTCACTTGGCATCTGTCTTTTTGGTTGGTTTAATCCAAATAGGTTGGGCCTGACTCTAATTTAGCCCAAAAGAGATTTTAGTGGTTGGAAACTCACCTTGGCACGGCGAACCTTGCCCAGGTCCATGAGTTCCAGCAGCTGGGTGGGATGGTACTGGGGTAGAGTCGGAGACAGGGAGTGAGCCGCTTCAAACAGTCCCCCTTCCTGAAGTCCCGCCGGGGCACGAAGGGCCTCATCCACCGCGACGCCTCCTTCGAACACACTCTTAGACCTGGATCTGCCTTCAAAAGCCGAGGAGGAACCTGCGCTTTGACCTCCAGCAATGTCTGCGGACGACAGGTTGCCCTCCTCTCCCTCTCCGGGCTTCTTGTCCTGATGCCACTGGGCATACACGTGCATTTCACAGTCCATGCCCACCACCAGGATGCCATCCCTCACCCAGGACAGGGAAACTGGCAGAGACGGGGTGCCGTCCACGGAGGACAGCACGTCCACGGCCCGTAGCAGGATCCAGCGCGAGCGGATGCCCTGTTTAATACTGCCCCCTAGGGGAAGGGTGATGACCGCCACGCCGTCCTTGCTGCTTATCGGCTCGTTGATCACGCCGGAGATACGGCCGTACATGAGGATGTTGGACCCCACTCCCACGGTGAGGATGTGAGATCCGTCCTCCTTTGACAGCCAGTCCAAGTGAACGTAGTGCTTAATGTTGGGGGAGCTGTGGTCTCTGCTCATGTACAGGTCAGACCTGGCATGGACAAAGGATTTATTTATGAGACAAACGATACTTGTGAACATAAAGTGGCTGACAGAATATGATACAAACACGCTAGCGGTGGCCTCCTGACCTGCTGTACACAAAGAGGTTGGAGTCCACGCTGACTCTCGGATCCAGGGTCGACGAGGGTCTGGTGAAGTCGTCCAGGTGGAGAGTTTGCTCTAAAACCCACTCTGAGCCGCCAGTAGATTCACACTCATAGATGGACACGTGCATGGAGAAGTCCTCTGCAGAGCCCTGCAGCTGAGGACAAGAAAAACATCCAAATTCTTAGAATGTGAAGACACGGTAGACGCCGTGAACCGATCAACCAGGCGTTCTGTAAATAGGAAACGCACGAAGTTCATTGAAAACACAGGCCTGCTGTTCATAAACCTCAACTCAGTTTAAGTTCAATGACATCCAGCTCCACATACTTCAAATGGAGAGTAGCGAGACGATATGCAATTATATCCTCAGATGGTCGAGTATCATCATCATTCCTTTTCCCTCATGGCTGACGACAGTTAACACAAACCGCTTTATCTACCACTTCCCTTACTACTCTTCATTCTACATAAATACATATTCACATGCAAAGAAATACAGAATTGTTATCTATTTTCAGTGGATCCAGGTTATATTGCTTTACTGCATTTACATTTTTATTGCAACACTCCAACCCAAGATGTGATTGTGACAGTTAAATTGAATAGGCTTTTGGTGCAATTCCCCGAAAACAAAGCAAGACCAAATTGAATATCCTACCTGCCCTTGCCGAGGCTTTTTAAAGGCAATGGCGAGCCTGCCGATGTAGGAGCAGGACACCGCTACAGGCCGTCCGGACACACACACAGCGCTGTTGTTGTCCTCCTCCTCGTTCATCAGGGCCCAGGGCTCCCAGCGGTAGCAGCGGGTGTCCCGGTCATCCTCGCTATACCCGTCGTCACCCTCCACGGCACAGTGCCAGAACCGCACTCGAGAGTCAGAGCAGGTGGTGACGATCAGGTACGGAGCCAGGCACACGGGGTAGATGGAAGAGGAGCTCAGATGACCTGGTGGAACAGAGAGAATGTCAAGCGTGTGGTTATGGACTTACAACAACAACATGGTGTGAGTCGTGTGTTGTAACGGTGTGCACATCCGTACCTGCAGAGGGGGTGGCCCTGGTGACCTCCACCCCGTGGGGCAGGTCCAGCCGCTTGCTGTACACCAGCTTGGAGCTGAGGATGAGTTTGCTGGCTGATTGCAAATTGGCTGTGGAGGCCGACCGAGGCAGAGGCCTGATCGGCGAGGTCTCTGGAGACGAGTCAGCATTCACAGCTTGATTGGGAACCATCAGCTCGCTCTGGAAGCTGCTATCTGGGCTGCGCTCATCTGGAGACAGACACGTGGGAATATTAAAGCTGGCCTGCACCTCAAGCAGAGGAGGTTTAATGAAGCTGAGGGTACCCTACACTCACCAACACAGGCCTGCACAGACTTCAGGTGCAGGTGCCACATCTGCAGGACAGAGTTCCTGTTGAGATCCTTTTCAATCACCACCAGGAAGAACTTCTCAGAGAACGGGGCCGGTTGGTAATCTGGGTATAGTACATTTACATTATTGTTTTCCAAAGACAAAGCATCAGGAAGCGGAGGTACACTAAAAGGAAACAGTGCGCTGTACCTTCGCCACATGGAAAGGCTGGTGGGAATGCCTCTGGTTCCGTCTGAGGCTTGTAACCTAGAATGAAGTCCTCTTGGAAGACGTGCAGCAGCTGGGTGTTGGCGCCACACTGGATGCACATTGAAAAAGCAACTGGTCAGTTTGTCTATTGTTTCGAGGGGTTTCAGGATTCCTGGCGCTGAATTTCTGCAAATCCCTGATCTGTAGTGGGTGAGAAAGACACAGAGCAGCTACTAACCTGATTTGTAATGACGTCCAACTCTATGATACAGCCGGGTCTGGCAGTGGACTGCTGGCTGACGATGTTGAACACTTCGCCCACCAGTTTCTAAACAGAGACACACACACACATGGAAATTAGTACTACCCATTAAGCACTACATTTAAATCCATTAATGTGAGAAGAATATTGAAAATGAGGGTTTAAAGTACAGGCCTCACTTTTCAAAACCTCACCGGTTTTGAAAAGCTGTTCTGAAAGAAGAACGTAATATCTGTGAATAATGAGGTTGTATCAGATCTGAAATGTGTGATGGATAATGTTCGCACATTAACCACCCACAATCCTGCTTTGGACTGGTTTGGACTGGTTCACAGTCCTTTGTGACAGAAGCTGTCACCATGTGAAACATAAACGTAAAATTCCCTACACACAATCACATCTCAATGATGTCCACTCACAGACGTTTCAGGGTCTGACAGCTCATCCAGTAGTTTTCTGGCATCCACCACAGCTTGATAGAGACGGAGGTTTTTCCCATCTGACGCCACGAAGCAGGCGCTGGCGCTGTTACAGTAAGTTCCTAAAGGGACGCAACATAAAGGTCAGATGGAAAGTCCCGCGGTGAGACTGTAAAAGGGGTATTTATGCTTTTAAGGTCGCTTAGCTTAGCATTGGAGTAATGTACTTTGACACCTGAATGGCATTACATACTGTGCATATGTTTGGTGCCATTTTTCTGAACGAATAGCGAACCAAATACAGAAGATCCAGTCCCTGGTCCAGTCACTTTTACATTCAAGTTATATTCAAGAAAACCGTGTGTTGCAATTGACATAAATATAAAACATAAAACAATGCATGGTGTGTTTACCAAGTACAGAGCTGGGTACTAGTGTAGGTAGCCAAGCAACATTGCTGAAGGCTGAGGTGTGCAGAGAGTTAATGCGGGCCAGCTCGGAGACCCCTCCAGTGCAGGAAAGGGGTCCAATGTGGTCCACCCTCCACAGGATAAGTTCACTGTAGATGGCGTTGGGGTCGTGGAAGGTCCTCGTAGCTGCATTACGAAGCTGCTTCCTGTTACTGATAAAGAAACGCATTGATAGAATCATTCGCAAAGGGGGAAAAAGACCGTTGTGCTCTTCGCGTCGGTCTTTCTTATCCTCATCTGCTTTTGTTCTTTTCCTCTGCTTTCCCTATTGTACTGTACCTGAAAGGTCCCTTTGCTAGTGAAAAGGTAGGAGGCTGCTCTCCTTCCAGGCTGCTAGGGGCCGAGGGAGGGGTGAGTAGTGCATTGTGGTGAGAAGAGGTCAGCAGCAGCGGCAGCACTGTGTGGCAGGCTTGGTCGTTCAGATGGAAGCGGTGGCCGCAGTACCGGAACTTGTGCGACACGTTCATTACGTTGGAGAAGGCGGAGCGCTCTGCAAATGTCACTGCCCACTGCAGACAGGGGTCAGAAGTACATTAATGACATGATGAACGCGTCGATGGGACAGTTTGGAAAGATTTTGAAGGGGGGGGGGGGGAAAGGGTGCATCCCTAGCTAAAAAAAACTTTCGGTAATAATCTTTTACCTGGTTGAGAGATCCATCAACGTGTTTGGAGACCATCATGACAGCGGGACTGATGCCGGGCCGAGGGTTCAGAGAGGCGGCCAATGCATTTGAACCGAGGCTGGCCGAGGCTGAAGCAGAGTGGGAGACGCGTTGAACCATCCTGCCCTGCTCCTCGGCGCTGGCACCCTCAGTCAAAGTGCAGGCGTACATCAGGATGTTTTTACTCAGGGAGTTGGCATCACCTGTAGGAAACGCCACTGGAATACGGGAGGAGAAGGACACCTAAAGGGAGAGATGGAAGGGAGCGATGAACCATCAGGACAACAGGCACATATTCTTTACAGCCCTTCATCCAAATAGATACCAAATTATCACTTTAGCTTCAGCTCTCTAATAAGAGAATGCTTGTTCTTGTATTATGAACATATGAACAGGAACAAAAAGCCATGTGTCCGCATACTGTATCAACGCAGCCCATGCAAAGTACTCAGAGCAAGTAAGTTAAGTCCCATGTGAAGTTATTTTTAGGAGCTGAGATAAGGCTGAGCAGCTTCCAATCCTTTCTCTACTGTCTTCTACTGTGTTTTGACCTCCCCAGGCTGCTTCTGTTGCAGCGCCGCTCACCTTTAGGACGCCAATGCTCTCCAGGGTGATCACCTCACCGCAGGAGTTCACACACGGGTTCACTAAACTCCAACACTAACGGATCTGTTATCGCTCCTCCGATCTCTTGCACAATGAGCACAACATGTAAAGAACATTCGAATCGCAGCTTCTAATTTTGAGTCAACCGGAATATTGTTAATTCATTAAGCTTATTGTTGATTATACACATTAAACTTCCAAACATAAAATTAATTGGAGCGATTTTTAGGAAAATTGAGAAATCATGACAAAGGCCACATACATTGGAAAACCAGGGACAGTTTAGCAGTCTTACATAAGGATCAGGACAAAGAGGTGCTCACCTGAACCTGTCTGAAGATTCCCTGGTTGAATTCGTCCAGATACTTCACATGCCAAACCAGGAAGGACCCATCGTTAGGATGAATGGTGAACAACATGTCTGGGCTTTTGTTCCACTCTGTGATAAGAGTCTCCATCTTCCTCTCCAGCAGCATGGAGGGCAAAGGCATGCTGGAGTTGGATCCCGGGGAGGACGCCTTAGTGCTTCCCTGCTCCCCGGGCTCCCCCTCCTCTCCTTGCTCAGAGGACGCTTTGTCGGACATCTCGTCCAGGTCTGGAACACAGGAAACATTACTCTTTTACAACTTGACGTGGATTTTAAGCTAAAGAGTTTGGACGAATGCGTAAAGGCCTGGTTGTGAGGTCATACCAAAGTCAAACTTGATAGTGGATCCCTCGGGGTCCAGGGGGTCCTCAGTCGTCTGGTCCACGTGCTGTTCAGAGAATTTACGGAGCTGCAGCATAAAGAGGTCCATGGAGGTTGTGAAGCTGAGGTCCTTATTGTTGAGCCAGTGAACAACGAACCCTCCGCCACCGGTGCCATCGTCCGGGTTGAAAACTGCAGAGTCAGCCAGCGCTGATGGGATGTCTGACCGAGTAAGAGGGTGGGAAGAGATACATGGATGAAAATAGTACAAAAAATAAAAGGCTGACTACAACGGCACGCCAGCTTCCACTAAAGATTCACAGCTACTTTGAAGGTGTTGAATTTCTTTTAAATCGCAGAGATGCTTTCTGTTGTATCACAGGCTGTTGCATTTTATAATCCAAAAACAAATTGCATTTCATTATTCGCAAGACAGAAATTAATTAAATTAATCAAGTTTCAAGTATAAGCTACAATTAAATAAATTGTGATCAACATACAGGATCTGTTGAATTCAACGGAGTGCCTATTGCAGACGAAGGAAACCTAAACATTACAGAAGATGGTCACTAGTGCATTATTTATGCATCTACTGTGTGGCAAAGCCCCTTACCTGTGTTGGGGTTAATACTAGCGGAGATATGGAAGTGACACAGGGCATTGGCGTGATGGGCGATGTGCCGGTGAGTGTGTGCGTCCTGCGTGCCGAGCTGTGAGGGCAGCAGCTCACTGTGAGCCACCAAAGAGGAGGATCGCCGCCGGCCTCGCCGCAGATGCTTCAGGTGATGGATGGACTGATCGAGCCAAGCACAGGGATAAGACACAGACCAACGGGTGTAAGCCAACCACCGGTTGTTCGCGTTTAAGATTTTATTTTAGCATTTAATTGCAATCCGACCTGAGCAACTGAGTGAGCGTTACCTCCAAAGCATGCTGGATCTTGTCCTTATTTCCGGCCAGTCCCGGCAGGCTGGAGCTGGTGGAGTGTATGTTCTCAGAGATCTGTCCACCCAGCAGGCTGTCTTCCGGGAGCAGGGTCTCTGACCACATCCTACACACACCATCCTCGCAGGAAGTCAGCATCACATTGCACACCGAACCCCTAGAAGAACGACGGGAGAATGCAACTCTTACACAATCAGTAATGATGAAGGAATGAATTGAAAGGCTCAAGTGAAATATAAGGTTAAAAACCCCATTTAAAGTGATTCACCTAGAGGACAACAATACAAAGAGCTCCCTCTGACTGGCTGCTTCGACCACCAATTTTACCATTTTTAATATGCTCACATACATACATCTCAATATACGGACACATGGTCAGGAACACTACAGGTATTTCAATACTGGGAATAAAGGTCATCTTTCTTAAACATTCAAGTTTTCCCTAGAGAATAAAGGGATGTATAACAGAGAGGATAAAAAACATTTGAGTTATTATTAGCATTGAACACGATATAGAATTTATCAAACAATAAACACTGGTGACCATGTGACCATGTGACTGTGTGTGTGTGTGTGTGTGTGTGCTTTCTCACTTGGGCATGTACTTGCTGGTCCTCCTCCAGGACATACCCGTAACAGAGCGAGGATGAGCCAGGTAAACGAAGGAGAAGTGAACAGGAGGAGGCCTTTTGTCGGACGGGTCGTGGACCACCACTGCAGAACGCCAGCCCGTGGTGGGATACCACACCTTAAGCAAACAGTCATCCTGCGTATGCACACACACACACACACACACACGCGAGCGCATGAATAGAAGAAAATACATCAGCTCGGACTATAGGATCAGAAAGAAATAATAATAATTTACAATGTTTTGCAGTGTGTTTACGTGATCATATACCTTTCCGACTGTTGCAAAGTACTCGCCATCAGGAGACCACTTGGCAATGTGAACAGATGCTGCAGTCCTAGACAGAAACACAAGCATAAACAATGAGATCAGCTATAATCTCTTGCCCATTCAACTGTCACCACAGAAAAGCTCTTTTGCTGTCAGCTGTCAAAGAGTATGTCAACTTTTGGCATTAGCTCTGTTGCTGGTTGTTTCAGAGCTTTCACTTCCCTGTTTTAGTGGTTTTCCGGGACATGTGAGTCATCAGATAACAATTACTTGCATGGCGTTGTGTTTCTTTCTTACTCAGCTAAAAGCAGAGGCCACAGACTCAAGAGTAACAGTGGGGGAAATGATTCACATTGTCATTTGAGTCTATGCAGCAGTAGAAGGAAGTAACTATGTCTTTTGTAATTCAATTCTTATCTATTTCATATTGCCATGAATCACAAATGTATTATTTACAAGAAAAACGAAGAATTAGATGGCAGGGATACAACCTGCACCCTCACATTCTAAATCCAAGTATGGTAAACGCTTCATTTAAAGTGTAAGAAGAACCCTTTGGGTTACACACACTGACAGGAAAAGTTAGATAGTTAGATATTAATGCAGCAAATAAAAAGAGGGTTTGCACAGTTTCAACTTTTCAACGGGTTATGTAATTAAATAATTTCACAACTCTTAAGAGTAAAAAGCTTTTAGTTCATGTAATGTCTGCAGAGGGAAACGATGAACTACTCCCCGTATGTCTGAATACAAACTACAAACAGACAGAAAAAGGCAGAAACATTTTGTTCCTGTTTTACCATCAACGGGCAAAAGTTGTAATCATCGATTGTTGCTCTAAATAAAAAACATTTCTACTACACTATTCAATCACAAAAATGCCAGGAGAGGTGTGTATTTATTTGAACCTAAAATGGCTGGAGAGAACTTGGCTTGGCTTAAGAAAGCTTTCCCTGACTTCATGTAAGCGAACGTGAGTTGAGAGACGAGAAAAGGAATGAAGACAGACCGGTTACATTAACGGCTGTAAGCGGCACTACGGCGCCATTGACTTGTAAAGCGACTCTACCAAATAGTTCTTGACGTAATGCCCACAACCCGAAAGCCTTTTCTTCAATGTCAATCATATAAGATGCTTTCACAGGACGTGCGAAAAAAATAAAAACCTACTTGCACTGCCAGACACAGTTCCAGTCGTTAAGGACAGGGTAGGCCTTGTCCTCGTTCAACTGTGCGTCCTCCTCCTCTATCAGGGCGTACGCCACCGGCGGAGCCCACAGCTGGAGCCGCTCGGTTGCCGCCAGGATGCGGTTCCCTGTGGACACAGGAGCACCGCGTCACGCGCCTCACTTCCCGCGCCGACTGCTACAGCGCACGGAGCCACGCAGCACACCGTCGCTCTATTGCGACGCGCGGCGCCCCGAGCCAACCGCAGGGAGTGCAATGGGAGCTCGCCGTAGTGTGGATTGATTTAGTGACGACAAGGTCTGGGAATCAGTTAAAACACAGAAAGCCTTCGGGCGTACCTTGTGGGTCCCAGGCCAGGTTGTAGGTGATGGCTTCGAGGAAGAACTGTCCTGTCTTTTGCCACTGATAGTTAAGCTGCTGTTAGTGACAGGAGAGCGACACACAGCATGCAATATTATTGGCACGCGAGTGTGATGAAGCCCACTCGATATGGATTGGCGGGCCTGTGCGTGTCTGATATTCGTCGTGCTCACCTTGTGCCGTTTGTTCGGGTTGGTGGAAAGCGGCTCGAAGACGCAGACTGTGTTTCCGTAAGAAGCAGCAATCTAAAAATAAAGACCAGCGTTCATCATCACATCATTACTCACCCCATCAGTGCTCCTGCACAGCCATTCCCACAGGACATGGGGAGGGGGGTGAGGGGGGTGCGGGAGAGAGGGGAGCATGTGCAGTACGAGACAGGAGCAAAAATTCCACTAAATTCCCTTTTAGCTCTGCATGATTGATAAACGGGAGAAGCAGAAAAAAGGAAGGTGAGTTTTTTTGCGTCTGAGTGTTCAGTCAACACTTACCCTGCCGAGCTGGTGGGAGCACTCCACACAGCCCACCTGTATGTTTCCATTCTGAGCCCCGGGGATAATCTGCACACAGTCGAAGTCGGTGGCCAGGATCACAACATCACAACCCGAGCCATAGGCCTGATGAGAGGATGAATAAAGAATGTGCACAGAAAGAGGAGACCAATCAGAACATGTAAATAGTACCGCAAAATGCCTTAATGTTGTGGAGAATACGTCTGGAATGTGTTATCTATAAATAACGCGGCCTCACGTGAGAGAAGTAACAGTTGCTCGTGCCTCACGAGTAGACAAACGCTACACAATTGCCTCGCGCTAAATGGGCCGAACGCTTTTGCTAAGATTTGGATCGTGTAAACTGATACAATGGTGTCCGCTGGCGTTTGGCAACCGCGCGCGGAGCGGCAGCGGCACCTGGGAGACTCCGAGGCAGCAGCAGCCGCGATGCAGACTCGCGTCTTTCATTATTCAGGAGAACAGGAGGAGAGGCCTGCGGACCGCTGGGTCACACGCCGGGGCGGCATTACAGCCGGTCGTATAACGTAAAAGGGGGGACGGAGTTACAGTGACCGCTGGAAGGTCTGATAACACTCTACGTAGTTTAACGGGAGTAAGAGAGAGAGAGAGAGAGAGAAGCGAGGCACATTAACCGACGGTCACCGTCACGGGCTGTCTAGGGCCGCTTTGTCTTATTTTTATCTCTTAACACACGCACACACGTGCACACGCGTAAGGTAATATGCGAGTCCTTCTGCGCCGTCTGTCAGCGAGGTCATTTGGGCCTGGCGGGTAGAACCATGTGAGTGTGTCTGGCTAAAACACGATGACCCATCAACACCACTTTGTTCCTTTGGTTTCGGGCTTTTGTGTGTCCTGTGTTTCATTCAACATCCACAAGTCCATAGGCCCACACACACACGCACACAATGAACAACACGGATGGCATTACAAAGTTATAGAAGATTCATCAACAGTGGCGGCAAAATACATCAGGAAATCGTGGTAAACATTGGTGCTACTTATTAAAGATTAAAAAGCAGAAGCACTAAGCAGTACTTACTGAATCGATAAACTACGCTTCCTCTTTTGTCTTTTTCGTTTATATTACGGCTGAGATCTACAGACACCGATGCACGGCTTGCTCGAGCATCTCAAATGCTATTTGACTGACGGCAACCATTGTGAGGCCGGGATTTAGACGCTTTTTGGGGTGAACCTAGTTCAGGGGAAAAGAGCAAATGTTGTCATGTGCTGTGACAATGAAAGTAGATAAGAGGAAGAGAGTGATATAACTTCTGCCTTTCCACCTAATTCCACTCATTCCTTTTTTCTTACGCAATCATGTGAGCATGTTGTGCAGCATGTGTACCATTTTCAGGTTTAACTGGCCTGAGCTGCAAATATTTTAAAAACATGAATCGATCCCTGGTGGCTTCGTGTAACCGTGTCTCTGTGGAAGCCTTTACTATTGCAAAGCCAATAGCACAAACCTGTACATTGACCCCACAGTGTATAGTCATATCCTGTTGTATGCACCAAAGAAGAGGGCATTAACAGGGTAAATATTTATTTACGCATTATATATTGGCCTATTTATAATAGGGCATTAATAGGCCAAACAAAACCCAGCTTAGATCCATCTCCATTCTACCTGTTGGTCATAACACACCCAGCTTGATCAATATGAACTGGAGGGAATTGCAGAAACTTAATGGATTGCAAAACACAGGCAAGAATGATATTGTTCTCTTTGTCTGCACGTGGTCACTAGGATAAAAATACATTTTAAAAAGCATACAAAACTAATCTTGTGAACTATTACACTAGAGCTGAGGATGGCAATATAGAAACAGCTCTGTCCTGTCATCATGATTAGATTCTTCAGCCGTAAGATACGGAAGTATTTGCCAGATGTTTCGTTCACTCGTGTTTGGATAGAAGACACAAGTGCAGTGTCTCTGTGTGGCAATCCAACAAAAATTCTTGCTCAAGATACAGAAAGTAGAAAACGCCCATACAGAGAATAAGACAATAACGTGACAATGTCTGTATTCCGATGTAGAACATCTCCATGCAAATCACAAATGTTCAGATCCGGTGGAATATGGAGCTTCAGTGAGGGGGGGTGCATCCTCTCTCTTTCTCTGTGGCGTTCTATTTTTAGAGGATTGCACATCTGCAGCTCTGCACATCAAACCCACTGGGCTTTCTGAACATTTAGAACATCAACTGCAGGTCAAAAATGGACACAAAAACAGTCGGTCATCAATGCACACAAACGATACCAAATACACTATATTATTTATTTACCATTACCAAAAATGACATCTTCGTCATGTATGTCATTCAACAGAATAACTATACCCATACCAACGTTTTATTGGGAAATAGAAGACCTATTTTCCTTAGATGATCTCTTCATATTTCTTGCCGTATTGTTCTTTCATACTCTTCCTCATTTGTCTTTCTATTCAAACATGTTTCGCCATTTTTGTCAATATACAACAAAGTTGATCCAGCAACATTCTCATGACCATCCGGGAGGACGGAACCGAACAGTAAGTAGACGGAGTGAAGCTCCAGCTTCACGCTCCCTCATTTGAACTGATGCATGAATGACTGCAGCAGTTTAGGTGTCGTGTGTGTGTGCGTGTGTGTGTGAATATACGTCAGTCAGAGGCTAGCCTATGAGTCCTCGGGGTCAATGTGAGTGTAACCGCATTGGGCATGATGTGTAGCGCTCTTGAAATACCCTCTCAGACACGGATAGAAACCACCAGGCAGAGAGAAGGGCACCCCGTGGCAACCTGCCGGGCTGCAGCTTCACAACAAATCGCGTCTTGCGTTGTTGAGCAAATACAGTATGACCCTCGGTACAAAGCTGCTTGTTTACATTCATACAGTCTTGATCTGGGGTCGGGGTCAGCGGAGATAGGAACAACTTCTCTCTCCAAAAGAACTTAAAAGAAGGAACGGCTGCACTATATTCTGCGGAGCACAGGGATTTGGTGAGGGTGTCTGTATTTGAGAAAAGACTGTGGTAATTAATAGAGGATTCAGCCATTTCATTCACATTACCGTTGAGATGAACTTGGATTATAAGTACTGAATGAATCTGGTCCTTGTGAATAATAATGATTGACAGCTGCAACCTACAGTCAAGGCAGACTACATAACTGTTTCCATATTCAACCAGTCTTAAACTTAAAACCAAAAATCCTAAGCTTCTGATAATAGTACTATTATAGTGAACCTATTTCTGTTTTACGTAGTTATGGATTTTGAGGGGCTTGCTTTATTATGAATGTGTTATGATGTTAAGAACAATCATCCAGCTGTCTATATACTCATCATCATTCATCCTCTACTCTCACTACAAGAGTTGACTAAGGATGCTACAGTTTTGGTTTCTACTACACTCAACGCTGGTATTTTAAATCAACTGAGCTATAAGAAAAAACATTGTTAGGTTGTTCAAAATTGGGCACCTTTTTTTTCAAATTAGCCATCGCAAAAGATGATAACATATTTTAAAGGTTTCCTTCCCCTTGTCTCACTGCTGAGGTTGCCATAAAATCACTAAGAATATGTCTTCCCCAAAGAAGTCAATAAAGCCCAGTCACAGGATTTGGTTCAAAGGTAGAAGGTGTCCGATCAGCATACAAATGACCTATGACGTAAGCTGCCGAAGGTCCAACAAACAGCGGTGATAAAACCAAAAAAAATACCGGTGTACTCTAAAGACACCCGGGAGTCAAAAAGATGACAGGCGGCACCGCGTTTTAGATTTTACGTTACCTTCGCCACCAAAACACGCCGAGCCATTCGTACCTCCGGCTCACGTGTCCATATATGGCCCTCTACGTCACGGCTGATGCCGGGATGACAGCCAGCTAATGATCCGCGAGGAGGATTTAACGTCAAACGGTAGCGAGCTTTAAGCTAGTCGTGACAACTAGACCAAAAAAAAACCCGCAGCTTTCTTTTATTAGTTTTTTATTTAACTCATCATTTCACGTTGTAACTGTACGCCAGTGTTGTCAAACCACCAGTCACCCCCATCTCCCACCTTCCTCCCCGAAATGTGGACTGCGAAATTTCCTCGGACACGCGTCCCATTGCGTGCGTTTGCCGATAGCGTCGGGGCCGCGCAGAGGGGATTCCCTCGCAGTAATTCTAATAATGCAACCGAGTCACAGCTAAAGGGTCATTCGAGCGGCTACCGGTAACTGAACTGTCTGGGAGCGATAATAGCACAACGTCACCCGCTAAACGAACGCACCCAACGTCAGATACCACAGGTGACCGCCCGCTGGAGGACGTTATAGCTCGTCGACGTCTGACTGACTGTCAACATAAATGAGAGGCGGCAGTTTGGAGGAGAGGGGGGGGGGAGGGGAGAGAAGAGAGAGAGGGGGGTGTTGTTTGTGGATCGGTCGGTGCGGCAGCTCTGCTAGCACACCGCCCGGCTAGCACCCCAGCCCCCGTTCAAAGCCGATGTGACGTTAGCTAGTTAGCTTCGCTAAGCATCCAGCTAGCTAGCTGTCAGCCGTTAGCTTCTTTGGGAGGAGGGGGGGGGGCGGTGTCATCCTGAGCGAATAATATCAAAATAAAACCTCACCGTGAAAGGAATGTCGTTTACGCTCCCCACCGAGTAGCAGCAGTCTCCGGGGTTCACAGCTCCCGTCAGCACCTGATGCAGATGCATCTTCCTTTTTTTAAATTATAGCAGCAGATGTTATTCTTTTTAATAATTAATAACTAGTCCACCCTTTCGGTTTCTCCATCTAGCAACGACCGGGAGTTCCATCAGTAAGGCTGGCGTTGTCCTCGTCCCGGCGTCTTCCTCCGCCAGCGTTCGCGTTGCGGTGAATTGTGCGCGCGATGCGTGTACATGTAATGTCTCCCGCTCCCGTCATGTATTTGAACGCATTACAACTGGCCGCCCGTCGCCTCTCGCCGTCCACACCAGTCCTCCGATTAGTCGTGAGAGCCGAGGCAGCGGGATCTCCGCAGCGAACCTGACATGCGCGTTCCCGACGATGTCCAGGCACGACTGAACGGTCATAGAAAAGCGCTGCATAGAACCTTAGTGTCGGCTTCTCGTTCCTACTTAGTGCTCCAGTCGGGTTGTTTTTTGAGTGAAAAACGCCGGCAATTAAGTTGTCCCGTATGTTTTCTCTAAATTACTTAAAAACCTACCGTATTGCTTCACCGTGGTTCTCTCTTCCTCGCTGTACAGCTGCTCTAGCACTGTATTTCTATATTCGCGGCGCACTAGTTTCGTGGAGCACCCCTCTGTCGGCTATTGGAGTTCATTGATCATAAATGTAGCGTCTGGGGTAAAAACGTTTCTCTCAGTGAAAATAAGTTATTGAATGAGGGAAAAAACTGTGAACATAAGACAGCGTTACAGTGACGCAGATAGCAGCCATACTGAACAGTAACAACAGACATATGGAGCAGGAGTGCTTTTCTTTTGTAGGATAGTGGACCTCTTCTCTTTCTCTTCAAGTCTAACAATGTCAAATGGATATTTTTTTTGACGCATAGCAGTGCATGTGCAAAACAATATCTGTTTACCATTGTGAACCTGCACATAGTTAAAATGAAACAATTTACTACATTGTTATCCCAGCTTCTGATGTAATGCATTACACCGTAATGATGTGATGAACAATTTGAGGTCGTCACCGTGTTTTTTTTTAATGCCAAAGTAGCTGGCGTCACAACCATGACATACAATATTATGTCGTTGTTACTGTCTCTTTAATATCTCTATATTTATGAAGGGAGGACTGACGGGGATCCATGGTGGTGATACACAACCAACCATCGTGGCCTTGTCCTGGATATTTAGGCCTCGCTGACATCATCATGCGAGGCCTGCCTGCCAGCCACCGTGACACACAGGACAACAGAACAGAAATTTCTGGATGTGGTAGCCCAAAGAGGATGTGACATGTACGCATAAAGAGTGTCGGAAAGAATGATGGGGCACACTCATCCTGTAGCGCTTGTATTGCTGTGGCCATTTAGCATTTGGTGACATTTTTGATCTGTGTCAGACTTTACAGCTGTTCTTGGCCTCATGACTGATGCTCAGTAATAACTACTCGCTGTGCTCTTTTAGAAAGGGGAAATGAAATGGACGGACTGGAGATAGCTCAAGATGTTAATCAATCAATTAAACTTTATTTCAGACTCAGGGTCCACATCATGACGAGACAATAATAAAAATACATACAGAACAAAACAAAAAAAACGCACAGGGCTTTGGCCTTATTTGGAGACAGCTGTGCCAATGTCTCCACATGGGACAAGTTGCGTGTACTAAAGCCTTACGTCTGTCAAAACCAAAATCATTTCATTGTTAGACTCATTAAGCCGGTAATTACATTTATTCATATGGGTTTCATTGAGACAGTTTGGAAAGTGTTGACTCCTGCGGTGACAAACATTTCCCTGGCACTACTCCCTCTGGATCTTTAATAATATTCCCATGGCATCATTATGAGCTACTTTAAGCCTCTGTAAACTTGTGAGCAGTGTAGAGTGGTGCACAATACGCTGTGAATAGAGACATCTTCCGAACTGAACTTGCATGAGAGAGCATTAGCTCGTGCATACACCCTATACAACAAGTATCAGTGTCACCTCTCATTGGTTCTGATAAGAAACGGCCGAGATATTCTACTACACACACCAATTTCTTGTTTCACTGGACAACTAGAAGCCAAGGAATTTGTCACATGTGTCCTCTTTGGTTCAAAATGGCATTTAACATTGAGTGGTGAGCGTACCAGCAAACACAAATTCTCTCACGGTGACTCGCATTATGTTACCCGTAAATTGAAAGTCTGTGAAATCTTGCCACAAATCTTCCTCTCTCTGCTCCTTTGACTTTGAATCATTTTAAAGGCCACACTGCTGCTGTCGGGACGTGTGAACAAAAGACAGTCAGTGCATCTTTCCCTGCTGAAGTCGTTCCCTTGCAGCACCTCTCTCTGAGAAAATAATCTGGCTAAAATCTGAACAAATATAGATGGCGTCCCTATAATTTATGTGTGCATGTGATTATTCTTTCGGCGACGGAGGGTATCCACTTTAGATTACTAAGAAACGGGGGATTCATCTCTTAAGTACTGGCGGTTTTCGTGCAGTTTTCCGAGATCACTGCAGAGAAAACAGAGTCAACAACAGCAACAACATCGGGTATGTAAGGCTGCTCGATTGCTGCAGTTTGAGGAGCCGAGTGTATCTGGAACATGAAGTGGGTGTGCACTGTAAGTGTGTGTCTGTGTGTGTGTGTGTGTGTGTGTGTGTGTGTGTGTGTGTGTGTGTGTGTGTGTGTGTGTGTGTGAGAGAGAGAAAGGGGCCCTGTGAGTAACAGCTACTGTACGTCTGTATGTTGCAGAGGGGCTGGACGAAGGTTGATGCAGGGTTTGCAGTCCCCTCCGGTGCCATTGGGAGACACAGCCTTCATCTACAGAGAACAGAATTAAATGCATTATAGATTTTCTCATTTCATGGATGGCTGCTTGCTGGAGGGAGCTCCGGTCTGGCCCCGGGGCGCGAGACATTTCTGCTCCCCAGGACAAAAAGAATGTAATGGAGCATCCTCACAATCTTAAATAATTAAATCAGTGCGTACTGTTGAACTTCACTGTCATGAAGTTATCAATATCGGAAGTTTGAGTCTTATTTTCTTTTATGCCAAAGCAGCATGAATTCTTCAAGGATCTACAATAGCTTTAACACAATGTTATCTGCTGCGTTCACAGTAAATGAGGAAAAGTGAATCTGACATTGCAATTGCACTTTTCATTAAAACTCATTGATTAGTTTGAATACATTAAATACTTTCATATTTTTTAATCAAATTTTAAGGATAATAGAAACACCATTTATAGTTTTGAATAAAAATATGCACAATATAACGGATCTATAAGGATCTATAACGTTGATTTGTTCTCTGAAATGGGGAAACAGACAATTGAAGATGGCTTTCAGAACTGCTGCTAAATGAACTTGACGAAAAGACATAAAAACGTCCAAATATTTCAGGTGTCTCCTTGTGAAATCAGGTGATCTGATCAGGTTTACTTTGTACATTAAACTGGTCTTCAACTCTCTGGGTTTCTTAGACAAAATGAAAGCTCGAGAGCAACTAACATGAGTAACGTGCACAGTGCATGTAATTCAATGCGCAAAGGACCTACGTACTCTACGTATCATGCATTCCAAGTGTGTTCTTTTATTTCCTCTTCATCTCATTTCCTCCTTGTCTCCTTTGAAAGGAGATTAAACGGTTCAAGGCAACGGCGGAGAAGCCATGCCGCTTCCCAAAGAATACGACCCTTACACTCGATTGGGCACAAATCTCATCCCATCCGCTCATGAGGAGTCATCAAGGGCCCCGAATGAGGCAGAAGAAGTGAGGGATTTGGGTCGCAGGCTTAAAACAGGCCACTGAAGGGTTCTCCTGTTTATTCATGAACAGATGTGTGCTACATGTCTCCAGTCTCAGATCCTGCTGATGCCATTGGAATGCAACTCGGGAATAATTAGAGTAACGCGCTTTGGTCCTTCGACATTACACGTCATACTTAGAAACCACAGTACATTGATTTTGGCATCAGTGTGATGATTACAATGATGATATTCTATTTCAGGAATAGCTTTTGCTTGAACGGTTAAATATCGCTACTTGTCTCATCTTTGCTAGACTACTAATGTGTAATGTTTACAACACTTTTATAACACCAACTCACATTGCTCTAGCGCTGGGCACATTTAATGACCTCTTATGTTCAAGTCCATCATCTCCGGCGCCTGCTCGAAAAATATGCTGAAAATAATAAAAAAATAGTAATCAATGATGGATAGAACATTATTCTGTTCAAATGTAAAGCCCAGCAGACGGGAGCATGTATCCCAGAGCAGAACAGTCCCATTTCTTCATCTAGACCCAAAGCATCCCGCTTTCTCTTATATTTGGCAAATATTTGGCAAAAATACAAATGCTGCTCTTCCTCTGGTGAATGCAGGTCCATTACGACGTTTAATAAAACCTGTCTGCAGTTACTTGTAGAAGGTGTTCATGTGTAACACCTGCTTTAATTTCTACTATTCTTTATTTTTTTAGGGCTCTAATTGAAGTGGCTTTTGTGAACAACAATTTAGAAAGAGGGCTGATGAATAATGAATGCATGAATTCGTGTTTCAGAAATGTACAAAAAAGAGTCTGTATCCTCTGCAGTGCGGCATCTAGAGGGCGGCCGAGGCCTCCGCACGACGGGATGCTGCTGTTTTCTTGTCTGTCGTGGAGGAAAGATGCTCTCAAGTGGTGCTCCTCACGTCCGCTTCAGTGCTTCTTTCAGCGGCCCCCGTTTCCTTAAAGCGGCCGAGTGCACCTACGTCTCCTCCTCCCTCGGCCGTTTTGTGATTCTGCCGTGAACGCGTTCACACCATCTGGTTCTCACCCCGCTGTCGCTTCCTTCCCTCCTAACCAGCCCGTATCTCTTCCTGGCACACGCAGGAGTCGGCTCAGACTCTCGGAGGTTTGCGTCTGCGAAAGATACTGAAGATTGATGGCGGCTGTTCCAGAGCGCCGTCTCCTCCGTCGCCCCTTCTTCTCCATCGCTCTCTCCCTCTGCACTCGTGTCGCTTTCCCTTCCTCCTCCAGCTCTGAGGAAGGTCGGCCTCTCTTACTGTGGTTAAACTCGTCCATCCGTCTCTCGGGCTCACCTGTCCAGCCGGCCTTGGGCTCGCTGATGAATGTCTCGCCCCTGCAGTTGTTTCAGGGATGATTCACTGCCGCCGCTGTGAACGATTTCCTTTCCTGTCCACAGGTTCAGAATCCCATTCAGGCATGTCCCTGTGATCTGTAAATCTAATCTAATTGTGTGTGTGTGTGCAGGTGGGGGAGAGTTCGCTCACGCGCATTTGGGTGGTGGAATTTCCTTTGCCCCTTTGTGCTGCAATGGGATTACCCTTTTTTTAATCTCCTCTTTATTGAG